AGCACCATCCCATCCAGCAGTGCCCAACATCAGCTCATCTGCAGTTGTGCCCCTTTCCTGAAGTATTCTCTCTGCTGCATTGATTTTTTTCCTACTGTAAAGAAAAAGTGCACTTTCTCTCAGTGCCAGCTCCAAAGAGATATTGCTATGGGAGCTAACAGCTAATTAAGAGCTCAATTTCTCCTCAGCTGAAAGCACCGAACTGAATAGTTGCTTAAAAACCATTTCTGTGAGCACTCAGGATGAAAACTGATTGCAGCAAATAGGGCACTCTGGGACCAGTCTGTGTAGCTGCCTGTGCCGCTCTCTGAAGTTGCTTTATCTATAAGCAATAAATGTGCCTGTGTCTTACCAGGGGGTCCTCTGGTATTTGAAATACTGGGAATGCATTTGTTAGTGACTTAACAAAAAATGTTTTGCCTCAAAGTCGGATTAAAAACATGCTGCCCCCTGGTACTGCTTGCATGTATACTTTCAGTGTAATGAGTTACGTTTTTGTATTTGAAACAATTTGATGCAGACTGATTGCAAATAACTTTCTTCCATGCTTGACGTGCCTGCTATGTATAGCAGGTGATCCTTAAAAAGCCTGTGGATTTCAAGCAAAGCAAAAACAGTAGGAAAAATCTTATTTGAAATTACAGCTGCATTTCATGTTGGTGGGAACTCAGCCTTCTAAGATTCTTTTCTGAAAGAATGAGATAGGTTAGGTTGAACTGGTGTTCCTGAATTCTTCGTGGCCATCTTCTGTTGTTTCTACTTTCTTCTGAAATACTATTTACAATCCATTTTGACAATCACATAGAGGGAAGCTGATAGAGGGGCTTTAAAAAGATAAAGAACAGTCAATTTATTCAGCACTAGTTTGTTTTCCTATAAAATGTAAATTCTTTTGGTCACAAAGGTAGCCTTCACTCTCTCTGTAGTCTGTTGAAATGTAAATATCCCAATTAAATGACAGTCCAGTATTCCGTTCAATTCATGACACTTTGCTGTGGATCGTCTCTGTATACTGATGTCAGAAAAGCTGTGAACAGAAGATTTAGTAATCACAGTCTTATTCGTGTAATCTTGTGTAAACCTTATTGTAATCACAAAACCTTATTTGTTAAAAGCCTTTGAAAAGTGCCTTTGCTTTTGAAGTAAAGAAAGGTTTTGTTGGTGGAGGGGAAAGCTGTACTCTTGTCATTAATCTTAAACAAAGAGTAACATTCCTGTCTCATTTTTGCTGATGCTGTGCACCAAGGAAATAAAAAGTCAATAGGACTCAATAATGATAAGAACTGGAATGGGCAATCCAGTTTTACCATCAGTTTTTCTTCAGATGTTTGAGTAAAGGAGGTGTTAACCTCAAGAAACTTGAACAAAGATGAAAATGTTGTCCTCTTAGTATTGTCCATCTTATCTGTAATACGTCATGGTACGTCTGTCCAGTTGTTAGTAGAGTCTTCTCAGAAATATCAACTGATTTGAAAACTAACAGAAAGAATTAAGCCACAGTAAGTTATTTAAGCCTTATTTATTTATCAATAAAGAAGAGCTGTTATTGAAGTATGGAAAAGGAGAGGGGAAAGCAGAAGGACACTTAAAATGCCGTTGATAAAACTGGCAATTGGAAGAAAGATTCAGCTGTGTGATCCCCGCACATCCAGTGGGATTTTTCTCACAGTATTACTAGGAACTGGTTTAGCCTGAACTGTACGAAAAACAAAACCAAAAACCAGACAGCTGTGCGATGCAGTCGCCAGAGAATTCTCCCAGTGTGCAGCGCTGTTCAGGTAGTACAACTGTCAGTTCTGTTCTTCACCCCCACAGGCATTTAGCAGGGCAGGTACCCCTGAAGAGGAAGGGGAGGTTGCTGACAAAGCAGTGACCTGGATAGTAATACCCAGTAATTCCTGGACAGTGTGTTGGCACCTCACAGGCATAAACTGGACACTCCTAGGTATCACGCGGAGTTCCCGTATAGCAGAGGGAGCTGTAATTTGCTCCTCTGTACCAGAGGCGTAATGCTGTCCCTATTTTCAGCTCTCTGTTGAAGACAGCATGGCCATATCTGTGATTCAGGCCCAGCACACCTGAATGCAAATCAGTGAAATCAATATGACATTGACAGTGAATTGTGGGCCCTTGTAAATCTGCAAAAATTGTGCCTAACTATACAAAACTAAACAGGACAAGCTAGAGTAATCATAAACACAAATCCTGACTTTCCATGTGCCCTTACAGCTAACTGCTAAAAGAGACTACAATTCCCGGCTCATTTCTTCATCAGGTTGAAAAAATCAGTTGCCAATGTGTACAAATGTTAGTAGTTTAAATTTTCAGGTACATGGACAGTGGTTGGGGAGGAGTCGAGAAGTAACCATGCAACGATACCAGAATTGAGTTGCATGCTCATTGTTTCTCTCCTTTATTAGAAAGGAGTATATCTCATTGGAAAGTCCTATGCACTGTCCTCTTTTAACTACTGTCTACAGCCAAGCCTATGTGTAGATATCAAGATAGACTTATTTTTAAAGCACAATACCTCCTGAAGCAGGTTAAGCCAAAAAGAAACAAGGAACTCTTGTTCTGAAATGAATTTCCACACATGGAGTTAGTTCCTTACAGGAACAGCTAATCAGAAAAACCTTTAGGCAAATATGTTTTTTAATTATCCACTTTAAAATGTTCATTAACCAGCTGTCCAGTAAGGGTGAGTAGAAGTATTGGTGCCAATGGCGGCCATGGCGAATTTTTACCATTTGCTTATTAGTATCAGCAACTTAGCGTAGGAGGCACAGGGGTTCATTTGTGAGAAGTATCAGCCCAACTACTTGGACTATGTGTAAAGTGTCTTCAGAAAACAAAGTATTTCAAATCTTTTCCTAATATTTATGCACAAGAAATTATGAGAAGCTTTCTTCTTATGGATTGTGTGGGAAAATCTGTGTCTTTGCTAAAATAAAATCCTGCTGTGTGTGATACGTCCTTCAATCTTTAATTGTTCCCACAGCAGCAAAATTCCACATTGATTTCTGAAAAATACTGAGGTGATTCCCAACTAGCAGTAGACTAAAATCTTCCATTATCCTTTCCTTCATGATATGGTTATCCCTATAAAATAGCAAGTGGTGTAAGACTGCCTCCTCCTTTTCGGAGAGCCTGTATTTCTCACTTATTGAGCAAACAACTGGAAACAATTAACCAACTCTTGAACTCAGTGAAATTTAACATAACTAACAGGACCATCTGGCATAGACTATCACTTCTCTCCAGAAACACTTCAGTGTGCTGCCATTCACTGTATTAAAAGTGCTTGCAAGTATATGTGGAATTAGGGTGGGTGGGACTGCGTATTTCACCTACCTCTATTAAAATTTTAACTCCTGCAGTATTCCTTTTAGAAAATCCCAACTTATCAGGTGCTTTGGGAAATGCTGCTTATGCAGACTATTCTGTTTTTACAAAGTAAATTGTTTGGGAAATTGGGTACTTCTAAAATATTTTTTCCACCTGTTTTTCTGGAAGCAATAGAAAATATGAAAGTTGATGCATAGCTTGCATTCTGGCAATTGGAAACAAATACGTGAATTTTTAAGAATCATCTACCATGCATGGATTATAGTCTTTGTGTAGAGCATTTTTTGCCAGCTCAGATAGAGGAAAAAACTTACCTTGTCCTAATGCATCTTGTCCTAAACTGAATGAAACTGTACTGGAACAAATTTACTTTTTTTTTTTTTCCCTTTGGTAGGGAATATTTCCGTCTCTTCCTTTGAATAGATACATGTTGTTAAAATCCACACAACAGTGATATATCTTTGAAATAAGCTCTTGTACTGGCACTTTGTGAGGTGCCACAAGATTTAAGATACGTGTCTCCAACTGCTGTGGTTGAAGCCTTAATCATGGGGGTACAAGTCCAAAACATTCTTGTCTGTTAATTCACTTGAAATTGTATTTATTAATTAACATTTCCTTGAGACAGTTTCAAACACAGGAATTTCATACCAGAATTCTGCGACTCTTGCAAAATGTTCCAGCACTATAAAACCTCTCTGCTGAAGCTGTGCAAATATCCCACTGAGCAGAGATTAAATCCAACACATTTAAAATATTCCAACAATTATTCTCCATCCCTTTCCTTATTTACCATGTGTATCCTGACAGGTTTACTGACATAGCTACACAGCAAGCTGTCTGCAGGGCTGCCACGGGTCTTGCTTCTCATGCATGTGAATAATCTAAGTTCTGAAAATTGAGTAAGGTTTGGGTTTTTTGGGGGGGTTCCTCTTTTTACTGCGTATGATTTTGCATTTATTGCCTGCATTGACTGCACTAAGGGGCCAAACCATCTAGCTTGTCTGGCTCTGCCTCACGTCCTTGCCCTTCCTCCCTCATTTACACACTGTCCTAAGTAGCCTACAGAGAAGTAATCTTTGTTTCTCGTGACTCTTTAAGGGAGTGTAATAGAGCATAACATAGCGCATGGGCGCGTTCTGCTGCTAGCCCCTTGATGAAAACTACGATCTAATTCAGGTTTCTTTCCCTAAATCGGGTTTTGATTATAAGCAGTGCTTCGGGGCTCACCCCAGGACTATATGAGTTTCATCAATAGCCTCTTTTATGGGACCGTAGCTGGGGCCTCGCCGTCTGAGGGCTGAGCAGTCTGTTCTCCATTACGCTTTCCACACTTACCCGCCGAAAGACTTTCAAGAGACTACTGAGACTCAGATGGTGCTTTCGAGGAAGCGGGGCGGGGGGAGGCTGGGCGCTCCAACGGGCTGGGCTGCTCCGCCGGCAAGCCAGAGAGGGCACGGGAGGAGCTCTCTGTGCCGGGCCCTGCGCTACGGCCGCCTCAGAGCACTGCGGGGCCGCCGGGGGCACCCCGGGGCTCCCCGCTGCCTCAGGGCCTCGGAGGCGGCGCTGCGACCGTTAACGGCCGTTAACGCTCCGCACGCGCCGCCGGCTTCCCGCGTCTCCATGGCTCCGGGCCGCGGGCCGCCAATAGGAGGGCGCGGTGCTCGTCACGTGCGGGACGGGGCGTGCTGCGGCTGTCATGGCGTCCGGGGGGCACGGCGGGAGCGGAGCCGCTGCTGTTGTTGCTGCTGCTGCTGCGGGCGCGGAGCCGCTGCAGGGTGAAGGCGTTGCGCGCGCGGAGGGTGGCGGCAGCGGCGGGAGCGGCTCGTGCGCCTCCTCCCTGTCCGCGAGCTCCGAGTAAGGGCGGGGCGGCGGCGGCGGCGGCGGCTCGGGGCTCGGAGGGTCACGGGTTCGAGACCCGGCCGCGGCGGGGCTTTGGAAGCGGGGTTTGCTGCAGGGTGGCGGGGCGGCGCTTAGCCTGGCGATAAAGGGGTTTGTTGTTGTTGTTGTTTTTGTTTTTGCTTAGTTTTTAAACTTACAACGAGGGGCCTCCCTGGCCCCTCAGTTCAGGCGTGTATTTCCAGTCCTAATTCACGGCGCTTTGTCGGGGACGTTGTTTTCGTTACGTGAGAAGGAAAAAAAAAAAATTTAGTGGGAGAGCTTTGAAGCGTGTTTAAATATAGTTTTTGTGCTTATCCTGCACATTTAGTTCAGAGAAACAGCCGTGTAACTCCATGCCCGTTTATAAGCCACAACTCAGCGGTGACGCATTTCTGCCTGAAGCCGTGCATTTTTTTGGTTTCGTGTGCTTTTCTTTTCCAATGGTTTCACCTAAAATACCATCTTCCTGTCATTCCTCACATGTTCTGACGATCAAGCTGTGGTACAGTTCTCCACACAGAGCACAACATAAAATATTCCTGTACACGTTGAAACGCATCGTTTCTGTCACTGCACCACAGAACCATGAGACCCTAATTTTAGGTCCAACAGTTCCTCCTGTTGGCAGAGATACCCCTGTAACACTCCAGCCTTCTAAGTTCAGAAACAAGAGTGGGGTAGGATAGGATCTGTAGTGAAAAAGGAATCTGGTTTTGCCAAGTCACAGGTACAAAGGTAGGTTTGGGAGCTATTTTGAGGTAATGGCATTTCTTCCTCTGCAGATGAGCTGTGTGTGGTTTCAAAATCAGCTGAATTTGGTTAAATTAAAGAAAAGTTGTTAAAACTTAGTAATGTCCAGAATAAACTTCTGATGGTTGAACTGATAGTGCTCAGTAGTACCACAAATGTGGACAAAACAAAAGTACGCTGAGGAGCACCAAAGAGAGGTCAGAAATAAGGGTGATAGGAATGCCTGACATACACAGCTGTGAAAGCAGTGTGTTACTTTTTTTAAATAATTTTGTCTATTTTAAGAATTTAACATTTGCTGTCATTTTTGCTACTTGTGATGGATCAGAGCCCCTGTAGGCAGCCATAGCTGTGAAGAGGATGGCAGCTCTGTGTGTGCCACACTGGTGCCTCAGTCCATGGCTCTGCTTTGTCCTTGCTTAGCCAAATGCTGGGGAAACTGAAGATAACGATCTTCCACAGAGTATGATATGGGTGGAATTTAATCATGCAGTGCCGTAAAATATTAAAACCTTGATTTGTTATCTTCATTAGTTGCTTTAAAACAAGGCTCATAGATATTACTGCTTATGAGTTTCTTTGGGTGAAGTCTTCTCTTGCTTCAAAATCAGAACTCGGTTCCTTCATTTCTAGTGAAGGTGTATCTCTTGCCATGAATGTACAACTTCAATTTGCATAGCTGTTCAGATGTTCATTCCCAAGAAGAAATTCCTGTGTGAAACTGTTCTTAGAGGTACGCAGGTCTTCCAGGTTGTTAGATCTCTCATGGAAGCTTTCAGACCTGTACAGGAGCTCAGTTTCTTGTGTGCTTGTTCTGGCACAAGGCAGAGTGCGAGAAATTAGATTATTTTTTTCTCTTGTTTAAAGTAATTGTGAAATTGTAGCATTAGGTAACAAATAAATAAACATATCCTACATACAGATTTCTTGTTTCAGACTTTCCTCTATTTAGGTGCCTCTAGGGATCTGTATTTGGAAAGTCATAGCTCCTTTTTAGTGTACCTTAGTGACAATGCCTTGAAGGAAAATAGTTTGTTCCCTTACGATACGTTCTCCATTCCCTGTGGGCTTATTCCTGTGGAACAATTTTACTCTGTGTTTTCTTCCTTGACAAGCCTTCGATCTCCTTCTGTTTGAGTGGACCAAGTGTGATGCTCCTACACATCCCTTTCTTTTCTTTTTTTTTTTTTTTCTTGGACCATCAAATAAAATAGATGACAAGTGGAGAACATCATTGTATGAACTGATATCCAAGTTGAAAGTTTGATGTCTACCCCAAAGACCACAATCCCATATGAAGAAGGAGTAAAAATTTTGTCATATGTCACAGGTGTTTCTGCTTTGTTGGTTTCTAATGTTCCCTTCATGAACCTTGTGTTTCCCAGTTTTGCTTACGCATGCCAGAATGCACTAATGTTTTTTTTTGTTTGTTTGTTTGTTTTAAAAAAAGTAAGTAATATGCTGTCATGTTATTTCTTACATTCTACCTTTTGCAATGGTAGATCAGATAAGTGTCTGTCCACAAAAGCCATTAGGTGTTGCTATCATTCTGATACTTCCTTGAGTATTTTACTCAAGACTTGAAGTAAGAGCTTGCAAGCAATACAAGCTCTGATTTACTCATGGCCATAATGGCATCAGGAGTAGCCAAATTATCACAGGAGGCCACTTTTCTTCAAGAGAAAGTGCATGATGAGTATTCCTGTCTGCAGCATCCTTCCACATCTTTGAGTCTCTGGAGTTTCAGGAAGAGAGTATTAGCAACATGTGTTTGTTGTTGTTTTTTTTTTGTATTCTTTTTTTCCAGCAAGATCTTCCCTCTGAGCCGTTAAAGGTGCTGTGATGCAGCGTCCATATGTAATGTTGGCTGCTCAGCTGTTCTGAAGCAGTATCGTTAATCCATGTATTCAAATTATGTGGTAATACTATGGTTTTAAACAAAGCTTGCTTCCTCTATTCAGTAAAAGTACCTAGTTCTAGTACAAAGTGTTTGAATGTACGTTAACGTCACACAATTAATGGTATTAAGTATTATGTGAGTCTCTATTCCGTTTTTAACTTGTTGGATTTTTATCAGTGCAGTCTCAGATTTGCAGAACAGGAGATGTGGCTGTCATTAAGTCAGTCCGTGCCGTTTTCCAGGGGCAGGGAGTTTGAGCTGGTATTGTCTGTTGGTGGAAATCTTCCATGCAGAATATCCCAGATGTGCTTACGCAGACTGCTAATGCTGATTCTGTGTGTCCGTGAGATCAAAAAGCTCTCTAATATTTAGCTTTAACGTTTTGGTAAATTAAAACAGTGATTGCTCTCCCTATTTTGACTGCTGTGATCCTCACGCTCCTCATGTACTAGTGCTCTGTGGTTCATCTTGGAGTGGGGGAGTTGACAATTTGGCCTGTTGCCTCTTCAGCTATCCTTTTTTTCCTCAACCAAAAGAGCATGATTTCCTTCAGTCTCTTTCCATTTAAAACATGTTTATAAACTACTTATTACTTGTTTCTGTGCTCTTGTTGCAGTTACTACATCTTTCTTTAACTGTTTGATCCAAAACTGGACATGGTTGACACGTTGCCATTGCCAAATTAGGACAAAAATGTTCTCTGCCTTGCCGATGGCGCTCCTGCTAATACATCCTGCACTTGCCTTGCCCTTGCAGCAGCTTGATGCTAGTGGCTTAGTGATCTGCTCCAGCTGCTAGAACTTTCTGTAGCAGCACTGTCTATTTACTTTTTTCTCCTGTGTTTTTGTATGTGAGTTTGGGTATACTAATTTTAAATGTGTCTTTAAAAGTGTTACCTGGATTTCATCTGTTTTTTTGTTATGTTAAGATTTTAAAATGTTCTTTACTTTCAATGACCTTGCAGTACAAGTCTCTTAAGTGTATAAGGGGAAAAATAATGGGAGAGAACAAATAGGATGTGTTTCTTTTTCTCAAAGCCAAAGCCCCATTGTGCCCATGAATATAACCACTAATTAAAACTTGTAATGCTTTTGTTTGCTTGCTTTCAGTAAAGACAGCACTTTTTGCAATGACTATTTTCCTGTAAGGCGTTTGAAGAATCAATTTTAGTATCTGGGAGGAATGTCTTTCCTTCCTATATCCATCATCTGTCCTGGAAGAGCTCCTATCTTCATGGCAAACTTCAAGCTGCTAAGCTTCCAATACTCAAGAGGCAGCGTAGCTTTTTTTTTGCCTTGCACTCTGTATTCCCCTCCCCACTTGGAAGTAAGCAGATGTCACTTGCATAGCAGTCATCCTTATCAGAGCTATCACTGATCATTCTTCTTTCCTTCCCAGTGACCTTGAGCCTGAATGGTTGGATGGTGTCCAGAAAAATGGGGAATTATTTTATTTAGAAATGAGTGAAAGTGAAGAAGAAGCTTTACTTCAGAACACCTGTCCAGAAATACCAGCAGTGAATCATGTCAGGTTTCGTGAAAATGAAGCTGAAGTTATTCAGGAGGGATCACGAAAAGAAAGAAAGTATGAACTGAAGAAATTGACAAAAATATTAAAAAAGAAGAATCTTTTACCAAAGCATTCTGGTAAGAAAGGGAGTGGAAGCTGTAACGTGCACTCCACTGGTCCTACTTCCATACTGAAACACCAATCCACTCAGAAAACAGGTGTCACTGTTCAGCAGAAATACAAAGATATATATGTTTATGTAAATCCCAGAAAACTGTGCAGTGCTGGAGAAGATGAGCAGCCAAGGCTTCTGGAGGCCTTGGTAGGGATCGTTCATCAGTCATCATGGAGCAGCAGAAGAGCAGAAAAACAAGGCAAGAAGGATAAAGTCATCAGAGGAATCAGTGAAGAGAAGCTTGTAGTTCATGGTTTGGTGCCAGGTAGTTCAGCAATGAAAACAGGTCAAATACTGATTGGTAAGTAATCAAATAAACGCACTCTTCTTTAAAATAAAGTTTGTTTGTTTTTTTGAGAGGCAGCTGACTTGAATATTCCCAAGATGTAAGTATAATTACAACAACTATTTTGTTAATTCTTGAGGTGGTATTTTAAATAAACATCACTGCGTTGGATGTTTTACTACCTATTCAATTTTACTGTATTAGTGGTTTCAAGAATATGTGAAGTAAACCAGAAGGTGTTAATACAGCAAGGAGATGGCCGTCCATTTAGCCTATAAGGAGTGAGCAGCTTGAACTTAAGAAAAACAAATACTTCTGCCCGCCTTTACTTAATGCAGAATTTACTTTGTAGATAAGTGAGACTGGGGAAAAACTTTAGTAGGCCAAAAACTGTGTTTTGTATTCATTCTTTTCTACCACCCCTCTTAGATAGGATGCTTTACCGAATATCCATTAAGTGGATTTTGAGACACAAAAATGAGGAAAAAGCATTGAGTGAAGTATATTCATATGTTATAGACTTCCTTTGTGCACAGCCTTGTGTGGATATTCTTCAGTTTAGCAACAGCTCCTTCAGCAATTGTGATCAAATGGCTTACAAATATTTGGAGAGGCTGTAGGCCTGAGAAGCCAGTGTAGCAGCTCTCCTGTGTGCTGGGTTGGCTCCTCAGATACTTCCACAAGCTGGTTCAACTAAGTAGCCTGGCAGAAAACTAACCCGGAAGAAATATCATCTGTCTAGTTTCTGGTGGAAAGTTAAACTGGGTTACAGAAGGTCTGACAAGCACCAGGGCTTGAATGACGCAAAGGAATGAACTTCTGTGGCCAGCAGCGAAGGAGCAGAAGCAAGGACTCCCACCTCTAGCATCGGGAGGACACTGAAAGGACTCAGCACTCATGAGCCCCCAGTGTCTGGGACGGTAAATGAGACAGCTAGCCTGCACCTCTAAAGGGCAGGAGATGGTTAATTGCCCCTGAAGCTCCTCCCTTGTAAGGAGAGAGCAAAGATGTGATACTGGGTAGAAGATCATGAAAATCTTATTAATGTAGTAGCACAAATCCCACAAAGTCAGCGTGAGTGCGTTTGAAATTCCAATGTTGTGTGCATAAAAAGGCAAATCGTGCTTTGACTAGCTGATTCTCCTAGCACGTGTTTTCAGTAGGGATGCTAAGGAATACTCCAGAGGGAAAATTGGATAACTTTCAAATTTTACCAGAAAGAACTGATTAGTCAAGAAGTGGGGGATGCGGAATCAGAGGAGGAGGGAGGGAGTTTCAGCTTCATCTGCTGTGCTTAATATAATGGTATTTAACCCAATTAGGGTAATGGTGGGTATTTATAACCTGCAAGTTAATTTGGGGAGACAAATTTTTCTGTAACTACCTGTCCATAAGAGCAGCCATGAAGTCAGGGTATAGGCAAACGTGAGGTCTAGGAGATAGGGCTAACCTTCTCTGTGATTCATCTTCATCTGCAGCATTTGATGTTTCCCAGAGCTAACGAGCACATTAGGACAATTGTTTGATGTATTTTTTTGTTTCATTTTAAATAGAAGAACACTTAAATTAATCTAAGGACTCTAGCAGTGTAATGTGTGTAGGGTTGTTGACCAATATTGCATTGGTTTTACATGTTGGAAAGAAATATTTTCAAGCATACTATAGTTATTCAGCTTGCAGTTGGGAAAATGAGCTGTGTTCTGTGCCAATGGTATAAAGTATATAATTTGAAAGTATTTTTATGTGAAAATTATACATCTATAGTGAACACTGAGTACTCTAAAATTTTTATGTGGTGCCTAGAAGCAGAGAAGCTTTGCATAAATTAGATGCTTAAGTTTCAATGCTGTCAGCATAAAGAATACACAGTAAAAATAATTTTGTTCCTGTGGAAAAAAAAAACCTGTCTGGTTTACTGTCTCTGCACTGCACATCAGAGGATGAGATAGTTACAATATACACCCAAAGCATGATTTAGAAGCAGTTGTAGTTCAGTAGATGGCCTCTTCACATCTTCTCAGATCCTCAGAGGATCTGAAGATGGATAGGAAATTTAACAAAAATACAGGAGAACTTATAAGCTTTAGGAATTCTGTTCTGAATTTTGGAAACATTCAGTAAAGAAAGCTGTGGTCAGTCTAAAATGAAAGTATTTGCATAAATGTTAGTAATTTCTGGAGCTGTTGCAAATGAGAAATACCTGATCATGATGCATGATGCCTGCTGGCTGGCTTAGGTATAACTTTGTTCATCTTCATTAACTTGCAGCTTCCTGCTTTACTTTTAGCAACCTGTGAGGGATGGTTGCAGGCCATTTTTTGTGAGGGATGCAGGCCGTTTTTTTTTTCCTTTTTTTCTTTTCTTAAAGTGGGTACCAAGTATGTTTCCCTCTGCAGGAGGCTGGGATTGTGCCTATGGTGGCTTCCTTCTGCCACTCCTTGCTCCTGACTTCTTGTTTTCCTTTGCTGCATCAAGACTCCTCCACAGACCGTAGTCCTTCAGGGAAGGGATCTTCTGTGGACCACAACCCTTCGCCTAGTGACTGCTTCACTTTCTTAAATAGACTTGGGCAGAAGTGCCATGGGCTCCCATCACTGGGCTCTGTTTTGGGTGCATCGTGAGTTGCTTCAAAACTGGCTGAGAGCAGTGACACTGAGCTCCTTCCAAACAGGTCACTCCTGCAGCACCCTGCTCCCAAAATCCTGCCAGGTGTGCTGAGGAGAGTGTTCTAACTCTCCCGTCTTAACATCTGAGCTCTATAGATTTCCTCCCCACGACTTGTGTTTGTGATACATAAATAATCAAGTTACTGATTACCTGATATTTTCATTAGGAATTCAGCTGATTTATCAGCAGCAAGTATGTTAGCTATTTTAGTGGCTGCTAAGGTTGAATCAGGAGAGAGACTAAGCACTCTTGTTTTTTAACTTTGAATGACCAGTTACAAAGTGGTTATTACTTTAATGTTTTTAATAGAAATAACGGCTTTTTTTCCCCAATAAATAATCATTTTCCTCAGGTGGCTTCTTCAATTTATTCTGAAATGTGTATCCTGTACAGCATCGAACACTCAGAAAATGAAACATCTGTTTATTATTTGTGCAGTGCACTTTAACTTTTTTAAGTTTGCATATGGAAGTCGTAAGTCTTGTTGCTGTAATTTATTAACCAAGTAGAATGCAGCCGCTGACCATATGAAAGTAAATAAAAGTTTTGTAAGCCAAAAAAAAAAAAGATGATTTAACTTTGTAAAAAAAAAAAAAAAAAAAAAGACACTATCTATGTGTCATTTTTCAGTTCATTTATTTATTTACTTTAACAGCCCAGTATCCATCTTAAATTTATGAATCAAGCAAGTCCTCGTAGTTTTTTTTAATATTCTTGCTGTCACTTCCATTTGTGTTACAAAATACAATTACTTTTATCTCATGTTCCTTAAGTGCCTTTAGTATTTTTGGAGTAATTTTTCTTTCATTAATTCATTATTAACGATATGCCAAGCCTCATCTGCTGTGTAAATCTTTCTAGTTTCATCTCTAACTGTATCTTCAAAGATAAAAAGCTCCGCCAAATACTCACTTAGATCCAGTCAAATAAGGGTTGTAATAGGAAATGCCATTATAATTTGATTTCCTCCCCTCTCTCAACATTGCGTTGAAACCTATCCAATTTACAGCAGGGGATACTTTCTGTAAATGCTGGTGATGGCCATCTTTACTGTGGTATAAATGGTAAACTAATTTGAATGACACTGAAAATACAGAGAAGTTCTTTCACTATCGGAGTACGATCATCACCCTCTTTGCTGTTATCTTTTGTTCTTACTACATTCATCGCTGAGGATCTGAATGCTTTGCAAGAATTCTCTCATCTGACCAGTAGGCTCAACTGTCAAAAAGATGTGAGCACCACCTAGGGAGAGGGATTATTCCTGAAGCATAGTGAAGATGGACTATAACAATCTGGCTTTGAACAGCTATCTAAAAGATGCAGGCTACTGTTACAAGCTTCAGTTGAAAGATCCAGATCCCAACCCCACTTACTGATGAATGGCTTTCTGTGGGGTTTTAGTAATTCTGTTGGTGTTAGGAGGGAGGGTTATTTATTTCCACTGAATAAAGAAATGCTGAAGTAGTAAACTTTGCTCCTTTCATTTGAATAGTACAAACAGTTTTTACTCTTTTGGAGTACCTCTGCAGTTGCAGAGGACTTGAACTTTGGACCTTCATAATATCTGAATTTAGCAATTGGACACAGATCGCTAAAACAGGCTATTGTCACTGGAAAGTGGTGTGTGTCTTTTAAATTTGTGTAGTACAGACAAGTTTCAAACAATAATCCATCTACAAAAGAAACCTGCAGTCATCCTCAGACAGTCAAGGTAAATACTGTTTTTTGTCATTTGCAGAGGATGGAGCTAAGAGTTCTGGCAGAAAAAAAGTTCCTGAAAGGACCCCAATACTGTGAGAGTTTGAGATTTTCCGTGAGAAATTGCCATATATGGTGTACTTGTTGAAAAGGCTCTCCAAGGCAGAGATGCTGGGCACACAAGACAGAAATACAGAGCTTGTGTAAGCTTTGCTGTGCTCTCACTGTGGAGTTTGGGAAGTCGTTTATGTTCTTTTAATCTCCTCTTGAAGCATAACAGCGTTGGTAAAAGCAGCCTGTTAACATATAAAACAAGTAATTGATCTGGCTTTCTTCAGGAGAATGTGTTCCACGCTTTGCCTTTTTTGGAGAGAAGTATGTGAAGATTTATAAGTACTTCCACTAAGCCGTTACCAAGAACAGAGAAAACTAAATATCAGGATTTCATGGAAAAAAGTGTTCTCAGTCCTCTCCCATGTAAACCGCATGCTTCTGATTTTTTAATTCAGCTAAAAATGTTCACTTCCCATCACAGTGTGGAAGTGGTATTCATTCATCAACCCATGCCCCCTGGTTAATGGGAAGAAGTTCTGATTTAAGAAATGTTGCAAGAGGGCTTAACTCTATGGAATGGATATTTAATCTGTGCCTCATGGGGGTAAAGTGATAGCAGTCCTGAAATAAACATTTTAGGGATGCCGTACTTTTCTGAACTTTATCTTTTTACAGATGGGGAAAAAAATACTTTTTAAACCAGGTGTTTGAGATCAATACATGTTGTTCTTAGGTAATAATGGGTGGATGTGAGAAATCATTTTCTTCTCAACAGAGAATGAAGAGTGAATAATGAATACAGGAGCAAATTCCTGATTCTCTTCTACATGCATATGTTCCATCACTCTAATAAAACTCAATTCTGTTTGCCATTGGATGGAGAACATGTAGAGACATCTAATAGTTTCTTTGTGGACTGAGAACAATCTTTAAAAAAAAAAGGGATAAAACGTGAAAACTTGATTATTCATTCTTCATTACTCAACTACAACAAAAATTTTATTCCTATAAGAGAAGGATATATATTTTCTATAGCTATCTTTACTGACTGAAGGTTTGATATCCTGATGCCATCAGAAAAAAAAATGTACATCTTCTATTGCAGTAGCTCACAGTGTCCCTAAAGATGGAACTGAGACTTTGGTCTAATGTTCTTCATCTTGTAACGTATATAATGGTGATTTTCATGATAGGCAATAACAAGCTTATGCGCTGGTAGAAATACAAGCCAATAAGAGCAGGTCAAGTGCTATTCCACAGAACATTTTATTCTACAGTATAAGTTTTGTATACAATGGTTAATGAAAAAGCTAAAAAAAAAAAAGGAAAGTTTTACATTTTTGTATAACAAGTTTGAAAAGACCATTTCAAGGAAATGTCTGCTTCTTGTCTATATAAGTATACATGTCTACTGCAGCAAAAAGGATAAAGTTCACTTTGATTTCTGTAGGTACAAAGATTTTTTTTTTGTCATGTTAATAGAGCACAGAAATAATGGGACAATGTATTTGCAGTACCATCTGTACAACCTTTTTATCTCTAGTGAAATATCTTTCTGCATCTGAAATTCAGTTATGTTTTAGTCTGGGAAAATTTGACTTAACTCTGCAAGCTATCAACCTCTTAAAAAAAAGTCATGATTCTTTTTTGATCAACTGAAACAATTGTGAATATCATTTAGCCTTTTATTTTGTTTAACCTGAATTGCTTAAATGTGAGTGAAGTTAAACTTTGTATATTTGTGCAGTCTTTTTAATAGTTTTATGTAAGAGTGTAAGTCACTCACACTTCTAAGTTTTTCATGCTGCTAAAGGGGACTAAACATTTCTCAGCAAAAATGTAGAAGCAAGACTAACAAAGGAACTCTTGCATATATAAACTTTCACTGGTGTTAATTATCACACTGGGTAGATCTTGTGGTCATGTTCTGCTCAAAGATGCTCTGCGTTCATGTATTTACATACTTCCTATTGTGCCAGTGGTGTCTTTCAATTCTGTTGTGTTTGGTGAAAGGAAAAGGCAAACATCCCCACTCCAATTCTGTAAGGTCATACTGATAAATGTAGCTTTTCTTAGTTGTGTGTCAAGTTGCAGTTCTGTAATACTGATACTGCATTTTCTGGCAAAATGAAGACAGCCTCATGGGATTGCCTTGGCTGTGTCTTCTGGAAGGCTATTCCATTTATCGTACATGATCACATTTTTACAAATTGAATGGAATAAATATTTACTGTTCCAATGAAAGTTTTACATATATACATTAGGTGTCAAATGAATAAAAACCATTTTGAGTATATAACATGTAAATATTGATGGATCTTCTTCTTTCAAAGTGTATTTGTATATTCCACCCTGTGAGATGTGGTACAAAAATATTCCCTAAGTGCTAAGGTACATGTGTCTTCACTAAGTGTATGCAGCTGGTTTGAATGCCGTTTCAGAGCAGGGGATTAGATGCTTAGACTGTTGTCTTTGCAGTACAATTCATAATTTCCATAATGAAACAAGCGGAATACAAACAACTTTTTTTAAGCAGTGCTCCAGATTTCCAGATTAGTACATATGTTTCCTCTTGTATTTGCGAGCCATGATCTTAAATATATATGGTACTACGCTGCTCTTCAACAAAGAACTTAGTTCTGTTCAGAATTCCTTGTTGTATTAGTGCAGCCTGAATGCTCCACTCTTGACTGCTCATTTTCAAGTCCTGGGGTTCTGGCTTGGGCTCCCCTTGTTGCTCTTCAATGATGTTTAACTTCAAATTTTCCTGTCTTGCAGTTGTCCTTGTGTTGAAGATTCACTAGGTGAAAACTTTACTGTGTTGTACATCTAGAAACACAGAGGTTAGGGGGAGAGTTACTGTTACCTGAAATAGGAAAAAGGAAAAAAAAGAAAAAGTCCTTCCAAATAGGATTTGCCTGTTGCAGGTATAGCTGAATGCTGTTACTAACTCTAACAGTTTTTCACATTCTATGAATCATAGAATCATAGAATATCCTGAGTTGGAAGGGACCCTTAAGGATCATCAAGTCCAACTCTTGACACTGCACAGGTCTACCCAAAAGTTCAGACCATGAACTTGAGAACAGGATAGGTGTCATGATAGCAGCTTCTAGCTTGCTAAATATGTTTTGGAATTCCTATACTAAATGGATGGAGCATAAATGTTATAAATGTAGGTACAAGTAATAATAATACTGTGAACTGAGGAAATACATGATATGGGAAATACATAACATGAAATACCTTTAATTTGTATCCTTTTCTTACTGGAGCTTTCATTTGCTTTGAAAGTAGATGAATGTCCAAAAAAATCTATTTTTTACTTCTTACTTTCTATTCCTTTTGTCAGGTCTAACTACTTTTATCCTTTGAGATTCTTTCTTAGCTTATTATTTTGTAATTTTTTTCCTCATCGATCTCTGTTTGCTTCCATACACGCTCCATGGTTAAACGATCTGTTTTTTCGAGGGGGATGAGGCAGAGGTTATCAACTAACGATTACTGTCACATTTCTCTAAAATATTTTCCTTTACTTGAGGTAAAGAATCTATTTGATTTTTGTACTTTCAGCGTGAGGGTGGTTTTTAAGTTTGTAAGCTTTACTTCAGGAAAGCTTCTCTTGGCTTTTATTACTGTGCCTTTAATTTTTCAAACCCTTTCTACTTGCACTTGAAGAATTTCTCTGGGATCCTGTTTTCAGATGCATTTTCAGTAATGGGAAAAGAGTCAGATTTCAGAAAACATGAGATGTCATTAGGCTGGAAGAACTGGCAGCTAAAAGCATGAAGAGGGCTGACTAAGATACCACAGAAGAGGGGAAGGCATGGGAAGGAAGAGAGCACTAAATTGTCATGTGGCTTGAGAGATGAAGGAGGTGTAGGCATGAAATGAGGTAGCTGTGATTAAAAAGTCATGAAGATGAGTGATGTTTCACAAGATGACCAGCCAAACTAACTGCTCACCACCACCATAAAATAAGGGTGGCCAAAATCTATTGTACCTTGCCTCTGCAGTCCTTGTTCTCTTTTGCTAACTCTAGTGCTTGTTAGAGCATCTGGGTTACAAAAATTACCTACCAGGGGAGTGAAGAGCATTCTGCCAGTTCAGGGAACTGAGCTGAGTTACTTAGGTGCACAGGAAATGCCAGGACTGCTTCGAAGAGAAGGGCTATGGGATGGCGAGATCCTCTCTCTGCTAATCCTTGAAACCTTCTGTAAGCAATGGCCTGGAGCTTATCAACTGCACAGAGGAAGAGTGAGTGACAGAAGCCTGAGCAGAGGGAAAAAGCTGTGCCAGGTGTTTTTGTAAAACAATCAAGTGTGGCAGCTAGGACTTAGAAACATTCAGGTAATAAACTTGTTTCTAAGTACAGGAAATGTTGCAAGTAGATGCAATCCACTTACTTGCAGTAGATTAGTTTTAATTGGATGCCATATTCATTTTTAAAACAAAACTGTTTGACTTTGTACTGTGGTGTAATACCCTTTAATTTTTGCTTTTGTCTTTTTTATCTCCAGGAGACGCTCTAGTTGCTGTAAATGATGTTGATGTGAATTCTGAAAACATAGAAAGGGTTTTGTCTTGCATTCCAGGTCCGATGCAGGTATAGTAGATGAACATTTATTGAATATGTTCTTTGTAAAAATGCATACTATTTATAGCTTTTTTTCCTTAGGAAAACAAACTTAGGTGGTCTCGCTCTTAGTTGGGGAAGGTCTAATTTTTCACTGACATCAGTGAAATGTGCAATCTGGCAGTAGTGTGTAAGAAGCAAGATATTGATGTCTAGCTTTCAAATAAATAAATGTCAGCTGGAGACGGGTAGTGGTATTGAATGGATAGATAATGTATACAGTGCTATTTTCATCTACCTTGGATAGAAAAAGTGTCAAAAATGTCTGAGTGGCGTTTTTTGTCTATTACTTTTTTCTTAAAATATTAATAATTGCTATGCAAATACCTAAAACTCTATCAATATAAGAGAATCACAAGAGTAAAATTAAAATTGACAGTGCTATTAAAGATATCTAAAAGCATTTAAATGGAGAAAATGATAGTTTTCACATTTAAATAGAAAAAAAATGAATATTTAAAAGCCTTGAGATTAATTGTGTTTAAGATCTTTAAAAATTGAAGTGATTGAAATTGATATTAAACAAACAAACAAAAAAAAAGATGAAGAATGCCCTTTCCCACAAGACCTACTGCATGTATCTTGTCTTCTAGATGAACAATTATTTTGGACCTATAATTTGGAGCTATATTAAGTAATAAAGAATTACATAGCTATTCAAGAATTAAACCAGGAGAGTATTAATTACCTGGGATGTTAGGAGCATAAAGTTAAGTGGTTTTGAGTTATTCTGCTTAAGTCCACTTCACTGGTGAAAAGGAAGACAAGGTAAAAGTTGTAACTCGCTAAGAAAGAGAACAGGTTAAAATTAGTGTTTCTTACAGTAGGTCTGTAACCCCTTGGTAATTTTTCTTCAGATATATATGAAATGATAATAATAAAAGTGTTTTTCTGTCCCGAGATAAAAAGAAGTGGGAATTTTAAGTTTTGTTATACATGCCTCTGTTGACAATCGGCTCTAAGTGCGTGTAGAACTGCATCTGCAATTGCAGTGAGATTGAGTACTAGTATGTCAGTTCAGGAAGCTTTCCAAGATACTCGACAGCAAGAAGCTTGCCTAAGCTACCGGAGTTGTGGTAAGGTATTGGCAGAGCTCCATGGCAGACAAACCTTGTCTTGCCTGTCTTTGACCAAATATGGAGCTGGTGTAAGTATTGTTAAACACAGAATGATTAAAGAAAAACAGAGATGATATAGTTAACTTAATTGTATCCTTGCTAGATTAGAGGATATATGTTACTTGTTGCTAAAATGCAATGCAACCCTTTGTTTAGTAGTTATTTTTAATGCAACATTAACATTTACGTTGTCAGTAAATTTGTCAAGTAGACAGTGATTACTTGAAACGTATAACTGTTTGTCATGTTGGCTTTCCAAAACCTTCTATTAAAGTGCAATTATTCCTTTTTTTACTGTGCAATTTCAGTCAAGCCAGAAGAGTGATTGCTGAAATAGACCGATGGAGAATTTAAATACATGGTTCTGTTTTTTTTGCGGTGTAGAACACTGCGTTCATACTGCTGAAGAAGCAGAGGGTTGTTATTTCTGAGATTTAGTAATGAAGACAGCTGTTACACAAGCAAATTGCTAATGTATTGTCATTCATTATACACTGCAAAAAATGATTTCTCATTCATTATACATTGCATATATCTAAAAAAAGATGCACTTTAAAGAATCTTTAACATAGTTATAAGTTAACTAAATAATAAGCTGTGTCACTGTTCTGTGGGTTTAATGTTTAAAATTACTGGAAGTAATTTAGAAAATTACATACAAGGCTTCTCTCAGTTGCAGCAGGTGGTATAACTTCTCTCCTTATTGTGTCACTTTTCCCGAATTTTGTTTTCGTTACCTGAGTTGAGGCAAACTTGCTTCTGGGCTAGTTCAGCGTATTTCTTGAGGAACAGCAGTCAACTGCTACATCAGTCCTGCCCCCCTCTACCTCCTTGCATGGCAGAGCTGTTTCTGGTGAAATTACTAAAATACACATAGGTGACAATTTAAATTAGTCACTGGGATAGTTTAAAATAAAAAATCATAGTGATCTCTTTCAATCAGGTAACATTTTAAATATCCCAAAACCTAATGTACCTGACAGTTTTGGTGAGCTTTGTAGCCCAAGTTCCTAAAGAAGCTGGTATATTTCAGAGAAACTAAATATTCCTCACAACAACAGAGTTGTTTTTGTAATTTAAGGATCAAAAAAGGTGCTTCTTGAACATCATTGCTGCTGTTTTTGTTGTGTAAGAATTACAGTGAAGTTCTGTGCTGCCTGTGACTGGTAGCAGAGATATTACTGCTCGTCTGCCCAGCCACCAGTTCTTCAAGGACAGGCTTGGAAGCAGCAGAACCTTTGAGATGTTTTCCTTGCACAAGAGAGAGGAGACCAAATAGGAAGAAGATGTGCATTAAGGAGTATACTTACCTTTAACCTGATACTTGGAAGTTGCAGAACCATATTACCTGAAACTTTCTAAAAATATTCAGCCTGAGGCAAATAGTCAGAATCAGAAATCTCAGCTTGAAATTTTGAGTAATGGTTTGGCAAATCATAAGCACATGGAAAACAGAGACTTAAACAGGAAATGGCAGGCAACCTTGAAAGGCAGGCAATGCCACCAGTTCTCCCTATAATAAAATCCATATTCTTGAGTATACAGCTTTCTTGCAGATAAACACAAAACATGCCCTTCTGGGTTATAGACCAAAGGGGCAACAGCAATATTTTCTGTTTCTTACACCAACAAATGTTTAAGCAAAGAGAGTTAAGAAGAAAATCAAGTGTAGGGTGACCATTGCATCATATTTTTCCAGATTCCAGCAGTCCACCAGACTGCACAGGGCCTTGTTGGATCACCTACTGGTTTGTAGCTTATTTTAGTCTAGTGCGTAAAATTCCCTTGACTTCCACAGCATCGTAGAGCAGTGATTTACATAACTGAGTTACATGTTCTGTTCATTTCTGTTGGTTTTCAAACTGCTACCTGAAAAGTGCTTTTGGTACCTGCAGGCTCCTGTGTTACGATTAGTAGTTAGCTGTCCATGTCCATGTCCTATCATTCTACGAGTTTGGAGAGTACTGTCATGTTCCATTTCTGTCCTGCCTTTCCTAAGCTAACAAAAAAACTACAAGGTACATAGATGGGGATTTGTCATTGTCACCTTCATCAGTTCCTTCATGCAGTTATATTAAATTTTTTTTGAGAACTAAGTATTGAGAATATATACGTACTTTATAGAGTGGAATATTAATATTTTCTGTGCCTTTCCAATTCTCCATTTTGAAATGATTTCATTTTCTTTTCTGTTTTCTGCTGTGCATTGACCTGGTTTTCTTTAAGAGAACTGGAATTAAAGCTGTGAAAGATTTCAGTATTCACAGAAGACTTCTTCAGTTGTCACATACTTAATCAGATCCTGTGCATTGTTGGGGATGAAGATTTGTTTCTTCTCTACAAAAAGAAAAAAGAAAAAGAGCACTAGTGGGATAGGCTATGTAAAAATGTAGTCTCTTGGTCATTCTCTGTTTCAACATTTTCCAGCCTAGATGATCTTTTTCACAGTGAGCTTTTTAAAGACGTAAAGTGGATTAGAACTTGGATAAGAGTGAAGAGGAACAGAACAGGTCGTGCTTCTGGCTGCTATATAGAGTTAAGTAGACTCGGAAAGGAACTGGAAACCACATTACAGGTAGAGACCTTGCAAATCTAGTGTCTTCACATCCGAGTAGCGCGGCGTTACACACAGTGATGGGGGAGCCAGCATGGAGCCCTGCAGGAGGAGGGAGAGTTGACGTTCTGTTTGGCCCAATTTAGTTTGAGCTCTTGTTTGGGGGGCCATATGGTTACATCTCTAAGACAAGACAGACTGAGATTTTTTTAGTTTGTGAGACCAAAAGATAGACTACAGCAAGAATTACATCTGTGCATCATTAGTGTAGGAACCGTAGCCTAAGTGTTATAAGTTTCCACAGACAAGATGTAGTAGAAGTTAAGAGAAATAGCTCTTGAGCCTTGAGGAAATCTGCAAGAAGTTAAACAGGGTATGAGCAAAATCCTCTGAAATACATGCAGATGGAGTGACGAAGAGAGAATTGAGTCACAGAATGCTGCAGAAGGAAACCTGCATCTCTACAACTGTGAGTGATCAAGTTACTGGGTCTTAAAAAGCCACTGCTGCTTAGCTGGATGTTGCTACTCCTTGAGCCCTGTTAATATGCAGTGTAATGAATTGAAACTGAAATGATGAGGAGAGAGTAAGAGATGAGTTGCAGTCAGAAAAGAAAGTGGTAGCACGTGGCAGGAGAGCATGATGGAGTGTGGTGCCATTCCAAAGAACAGGAATAGAAAAGAGGAGGAGGCTGATAGCAGCCAAAATAGGCGAGAAAAGATTAATGAGTAGTGTCGGGAGGGAGTAGACTGGAACGGGAAGGAGGCAGCCAGTGACACAAATGTTGTAGCTTGAAGAGCTGATGATGGCACTGCTCTCAGATCCAGTGACAGGCAGTGGGTGTTTTTAAAGCATTGCAATTCCTTGCTGGCACTCCTTTCAAAGTGTGTACATACACACAATTATGAAAATATAAAACTATCTATATTTAAATGTATAAATTGCCTTTTCTTAGGCTTTTCAGATTGATTGCAACTGGGGAACAAAGAAACCTTTGCACTAATCACTAGGCTAAACTTACTGGCTTCAAAGACAATCAGGATTTGGTCTGACGCATGATGCTTAGAACTTCCCAGTCCAGCTTTTTAAGGATACTTGAAAGCAGACAAACCATCTTGGATAAAAACATATGAAATGAGGAACTGAGAGTGGGCCTACTTGGTTTTTACTGTCCAATGTAAATGGATTTTCCTGTGCAGTTGTATCTGTCAGTGTGCTCAAAACAGCAAAGAAATGGTCATGAAGGAGCCTTGAGGATATATATTTATGGAAGGGCTGATATTTTGAAAGAAGTCAAATATTGTGTATGTTTAAAGATGGTGATAATAGGTTTTGTGTTCAAACAAACCCAGAGCAGTAAGTATATTTTTCCATTCTCAAATCCGTAAAATTTGAGTATGAAAACACCCCAAACCACATGCTTACTTGCATCTTTCAGAGAGCATGTAATAGCTAGCTTTGTTGTTAATAATAAATGGTTATGTAACACTGCGTGTATAATTGTTTTTCCTCAGACAGCAGCAATTTTTGAATGCTTTTGTCTTGAATGTATGCTTACAAAAACTTACCACTGTGCCAGAGAAGTTTGCCTTTAGAAAAGCCATCTCTTAATTGGCTAAAACTACGTCTCTATCATCTGATATTAGAGTGTAATTGTAAGTACAGCATCATTTTCACACCGATTAATTATCTTCATAGGTAAAACTCACATTTGAAACATCAATATTTGAGTCTGAAGGAACATCTCAGCAAAGGAGCAAGCGGGCACAGTCAAGTATGAACAACCTGGTTCGGCTTTTGTGGGGGGAAGACAGTGCAGAGCTTCGACAGGCGACACGAGATGTGCCTCATATTGTTATGTTCCTCTCGCTGAAACTGGACTCTGAAACATCTAAGGATGAGGTATGTTGCAAACTAAGAAAAATGAAAGTGAAAGATAAAAACTGACAACAGCAAATGTTATGTCTGTTGGTATTAAAAAATAAATAAATCCTGATAATCATTTTGAATAGCCTGCCAAATATCTTTTTTTGACAGAAACAAGGCCTGAAATTCCAGGGGGGGGCAGCATCATTGCTGGCAAATTCTAATTATGCTTGAAATCACTTCGGCAGTACTGAATGTCTTGATAGAAAGAACAGACCAGGTGTTAACAGAGAAAGCAGAGGCAAATTCAGAAGTTCATTGTTGTCTTCCAAAAGCTCACTGTGACGTTTTCAATGCACCTCTCAAACTTGAAGTATGAAATCCTCCTAATCAAAAAAAGCTTTTCCCCAGCAGGAGCAGTTGGCAGCCTCCATACATAATCTGTCTAGTGCCTCCTGTTTTGAAATGCTAATGTGCCTTTTCTTAGAAGACTCTTGCTTGCATGTCTGCTGCTTGCAGCCAACTGTTGATTCTTGCATGGGCAACATTTTTTGAGCTACCCAAGTACTCTTTCTTTGTCCCATAAAGTTCCCTTTCACTGCTCTTTCCTTTCATGCTCCTCAGAAAACTTGTGCCAGTGTATGTATAACCCTTTGTAAGTTTGTGTGGATGTTGTTTCTGGCGTAGCCATAGCTACAAAGGCTCCAGTCAGAGTGCAGGGCAGGCACAGAACCGTGGGGAGGGCTGAGCTTGGCCTGAAAATGACAAATGGCCAAAGTGGACTCTTTAGAAACAGACGTTGGAAAAAGACTCTTGTCCCCGTCTGTAGAGTCTCCTCAGATTTAATATAGGCCCCGGTGACTTATATTATCTGTGCTGTGGAGGTAACAAATGAAACAGAGTTTTTTCCAGTCTCTGGGGACTGGTGGGACAGTGACAGAGTGCGGAGCAGAAGACGAACAGTTCTTTTTCCCTCTCCTAATTAGGCAGATCCAGGCAACACTCCATCCCTTCTCTGGGATGTCTTTCGCTTTTTAATACTATTTTTCAACTGGTAGAAGTCAGTATTGCTTTGATCTACTATAGAGAAAGTATTACACATAATGGAGTTTATTTTCTAAAGACAGGGTTAGGGAGGAGAACCCTAGAAAATTGCATGATATTACGATACCATTAAAAATGTTGTATAGTTTGCAGAGTCAGTTGTGTGAAAGCTAGGAAATGACAGATTTATGGCTGCTTGTGCAACTTTAATTGAGACATTTTGTATATATGTAGCATGACATTGTCTGTATTATTTTTTTCTGAAAGATGCCAGTCTTGTGTAGAGCAGAAGATGATGGACAGATGAGTATGTATAAATAAGGCTTAATAGGCAGCCATAAATCCAGTACTTCATAACTCTGGAGTACTCGACTTTGTAATATAAATCATGTGCTTTTTAACCCTAATATTTTTAAGGTAACGTATGCTTCATTATGTATTGCAGCTACATACTGACACTGTAAGCTTTGCTTTGCAGTTCTTTCCAATCTTGTGTAAGAGACTATAGGTTTTCATAGAAGGTACCTTCAGTAGAAATTATTTTATATCAAACTCTTGCAAATTTTATAGAACCTTCTTTCTGTGATTTATACACACACACACACAGAGACTGCTTCCATTAAAACATACAATGCCACAGTATTTTTCTGCTTTGGTATTTCCCTGTAATAAAAATCAACAAAAAAAGCTCATTTAGCTGTGAATTAAATAAATTTAAGGTGCTTTATCAAAATAGACTTGCATGTTACAAATAATTCCTTTATCTTCAGTTCTAATTTCGTAGTCCATGACTCTTACGTTACATGTATGGAACAGATGTGGGCAATTGTTGTAGACTTTAATGACCAAGAAAACATTGGTCTTTAGATAAATTTTATGAAATATTAAAAAATAAAAAAATAAATCAAGGTCTCTGTCTCCCCTGTTGCAAGGTAAATAGCTATGCAAATGCCTAATGGTAACACCTGCACTTCAGAGTAAATGGAACAGTGCTTTCTTGCCCCATTCTTTCTCTACTTTCTCCCTAGAAACAGGATTAAGTCAGAATGTTGAACTGAGGTAAAAGAGGGATTGTATTGCACTTTTTCTCCCTTCACACTGTGGAAGAATTGTTTCCCAATAAGTCTTGGCAGTTATGTAGCCCCAGATAGTCTCTAACGTGCAGATATCCTCTGCTGGTGTAATCGAGCTCTTTAAAACATATATTAACAAAAGACCACTGGCTTCTTCGAGGCATTTTTCTTTAGTTTCATTCGGTAAACAGTAAGCGACATTTATCCTGTAGATTTACTTTTCCAGACTTAGTTTACAGTACTTCAAATTAGCACTGAATTATTATACACCCACGCCACCTCACAAAATCGAAAAATTTAATGTCCCTTTACTAAGTTTCTTTACCTATATCCAAAGGAAGCATCGTATGCAGATCACATCCTTGCAAACAGTGGCAACTAGGGCTAGTTACTAATTCTTCCACTTGTGAGCCTTTGACACCCAAAGATCAAATTAATGATTTCTGAGACTTGTAAACTCAATCTGACAGTCACAAAGGAAAGTATTTAGGACGTGCACATGGTGAGAAAGTTTGATCTTGTCTTTTATGCTTTAATTCCAGGTAGGTGTTATGATTATAACATAGGTTATTTGTACCAATATGCGTTATTTGTACCAGCAGACGTTATAACATCTTTATGCATTTGAACTGGTTTTGGTGATACCATGTTTTAGAAGAAATGGCCTTTGTATTCCTTCTACATGACAGTTTTACTGGTAGCATGTGGTTAGTACGTGTGCAAAGTAGGTATTACTGAGTAGGCTGTTGAGATATCTTTGTTCTTACAGACACTTGGGCTTCCTGTAGCATTTCACTACATTTTTATTATTTCTAAATGAATCTTTAAGAATTTATAGTGTTCTTTTAATCTGTAATTTATTTTTACTCTCATATAAGGTGCAATTTAAAACATCTTTTGTCAGTGTACTGTGAGGACAGTAGGATTTTTTTATCTAGTCAGCATCGTTACAACACAGTTCCTTTTGTCCATTTTGTTTGTTGTCAAGACTGCGCTGAGTGGAAAAAAAAAAACAAAAAAGCAATTTAGGCTGAGTTTGAGAAATAAAGAAAACAGAAATAAATAAAAGGGCAGCTGATAAGTTAAAGGCTAAGCCTTTAGTTTAGATACTCTGTCCAGGTTTTAGGTGTTTGGGTTGGGGGAGGGTTCACATTTAAAAAACAAACAAACGAAAAGTGCTTCTAAGCTTTTGGATAAAATGGTATTCTTCATCTTACTCTGAAGACAGCTGATCTTGTATGGAAGTATGTGCAGAACCTTGCTAACAACTCATTACTGTGTATATATATGATGCATCTAAGACCTTTTGTTGCAGTTGTCTTTTCTTTCCCTGGGAAAGTGTTTGGAGAATTCTCAAATGAATTTTGTGTAAAGGCCCCAGTTCGTAGGAAGGAGTGGAAAAGACAGAATGTTTTCTTTCTAGCCCTTTGTAATGCTGTAATTAGAAAATGGCATTTTTTTTCTCCTGCTGAGGAATTGACTTAAGAAAAAAAAAATTCGTGCTACTAATGAGTATTTGAAAATAGAGCTAATTAAATTGGATAAGAATGAAGAGTTTGCCAGGTCCTTCTACAATGAAACTTTATATACTTTTAATCTTGATGAAGGAAAATTTTCTAATGGATATTGGCACTGAGCAATAAAATAGCAAGATTAATCATATTGGTGTTTCTTTCGCTTGTGTAGAAAGATGATTTAGCGTCCCCTTTGCATTGGACAGGCTTAGTATTATACAGATTATTTCTGACCATCATGATTTGGCAGAAAGCAAAAGTAGTTCACTTATTACTGCTTTATTGTTACAGTTCCTTAAATAATATAAAAAATTGCAGCATACTTAAAATTATTTTAATACAATAGCATTACATTAAAGAACTGGTTAGAAAAATATAAATAACTGTTACAAATATTTGTGTTTATTGAACTTCTGTTTAAGATTGACCTTTTTAAGCATATGATGATAGTTTGTGTTTTCGTGATAGAACTGTTAATGGTTTATACATTATTTGAATGTATACCTCAGTTTTATTTTTTTGCTGTGGATGTAGGGTAATTAGGTAGGGCTACAGTGAGAGATGAGGGTTCCTATATTCTTACGTGTTGGTTTTCAAGAGTTGTCCTCTTGATGGGCTCTTAAATCACAATTTAAATACTTAAGGAACTATACAAATGTTAGCAATCTCTCGGAATCTGACTTGTTAACAATGTATTTAAAACTGTAAAATTCAGTGGCAATGCTATTTGTCATTCTATGTTTCTCCATATGATAGTGATTCAAAATAAGTCCTACCTTTCTATAAAGCAGAAATTAAATTGTTGTAAACATTCATGTTTTAGAACTTTCCCAGTAAGCCCATGCAGGCCACTGCTTGTTTTGATATCAAAACAAATGTTCAAAAATGTAAAAAAAAATAAAATAAAATAAAAAAATATATATATATAAAAATGATACCAGTAAAAAAAAAAAGAACCTTTTTTCCTTTTTTGTTTGTTTTATTTGTGTTTGCTTTGCTTAACTAACAGTTAATTTTGTTCACAGCAAGAAATTCTTTATCAGTACCCCATATCGGAAGCATCCCAAAAACTCAAAAATGTGAGGGGAATATTTCTCACGCTCTCTGACATACTGGAAAGTGTTACCGGTACCCAGATTATCAGGTAAAAGTATTCTGAAATTTTATGTATTACTACTTCTAATATTTTATATGTATGTGTACAGAACAATGTACATGGGTCATATGCTGCTATCTTGCTATTTTGGCTGAGAAGTTTTAGCACAGTGCTTTAACTGTGCTTAAAAATTTCTATTTAATAAAAGCATGTTACAAATTAAGTGATCACTACAATGCAGATAGATTCTTAGCAGCTACTAAGCTGCTGATCATTTGCATATACCAGTATTCTACTGCAACGTCACATGAATTGGCACTGAGGTGTGTTTACCACTTTTAAATGCTTGTGCATTATTAATAGGAATTCTCTCCTATAGAAGCATTTTTGACATGTCAAGATTTTCAAACATCTGAAAAAAACAAGTCAATCCATTTATGGATAGTACAGAAATCCATGATGACTTCGAATCACATTTCCTGTTAAGGTTCTCCATTCCCCATTTTTAGATGAATTCTCAAAATATGAAAGTACCTCTGCTGGTCTCTATGGACTGTTTTGTCTTTTCAATAAATATAATAGAAAATCCCCAGCTCTTCTATGAAGCTTTTTCTGTCAGAAGAGTAAATTATCATCAGTGTGTGTATTAGTACTGGTTTGACCTCTTACTTGGAAGGGAAATAAGAGAGTGTTTGAGTTTTCTAATAATTAATGTAATTATCTAGCCCAGTTGCATGCCTGTTACTTTACATGAGCATAAGACTTTGTATCTAAAATACATATAAATCATTCCAGCTTTAATGGTGACCTTTTATAACTGCATACTGTTAATGGAAATACTCCCGGCTTAATTTTTCTAGTTCCTCCCTTTTCTTATGTGAAAAACTGGTTCAAGTTGTTTACTGGAAAGAATGTGACAAGTTGCTTGTAATTGGCCTTCCTGAAGAAAAGTGAGTTTTAAATATTTCTTTTTTTTCCTTATTTTTCTCAATTACAGTCCTCAAATTGTACTGTTCTCCTATCAAAAAGCAAAAAAGGGAGGGTTTACAATGTACTTTTCTTAGTATACTTTTCTTAGTATACATAGATTTCTTAGTATACATAGATTTTATAGCAGCTATCCCACTTCTTGGATCAACTTTGTACACATCTTTTATATAGACCTTGTTACAATTTCCTTTTTACTCCTTACGAAGGGAATGAGTTCTCATTAAATCTCAGAAATACCTATAAATTATAAAACAGTAATTTTCAGTGTTTGTTAAAGTTATGTCCTAATTAGAGACTACTGAATAACAAGAGTAGTATTAGGTATTTATGTGTTCTAGGAGGCAAGAAGTACAGTTGTTTTTCTTCCAGCTTTACTACTATGTCTGTGTGGTCATGGGCAAATCACTCAAATGAAAATTCTTATACAGAACGATAAAGTATATTTTGCTTGCTATCACTAGTTATGAATGCATCTCTCTTCCGAAGATGCCTATGTGTATTGATGATAGTTAAAGATGTTATAAACATAGATGTATGTTTGAATTTTTTTTTAGTGTGCCACTTTCCCAGTTAAGGATCATGTTGGAAAATGTTGTCAGGACCTTAAAATTTATGTACAGCTCTTTAGACAGGTGAGTTATTTCAAAAGTATTTTCTTTTCAGTCACTAGTTTTTAACTGATGCTCACTGAAAAAGCATTTTTTTAATGTTTATATGGATTTTCTTTGCATGTTCTTTCACCTTTGCACAAAACCAGGATTCTGTTCTTGACTTTTTGTTTCAGTCTTAACACTAGTAAGACTCTTTTTAAAAAGTCTCTGTTATTTCAGAAAATTTGGTCCTTGATTAGGTTAAATCATTCACATAACCAATGTCACTCTAGATGTCAACAGCACTCTGCAAATGTGTTAAAGCACTGTCTGTAAAACGCACATATGAATCACAGTGTTATATTTGTAATAAAATAAACACTTCAGACTTCTCAACTTTATTTGGCAGAGTTCTCTGCATTTGGAAATCACCCAGAAAATTTTCAGTCTGACTGTAACCTAAATAAAATTGCCAAGGTAGGCTATTCATATGCTTGCATTCAATTCAGGGTGTAAGTGTGTATGCCATGGAGAAAATCCTAGCATTTATGTTTTGTGCTGTTCAACACAGAGAAATGTAGAAATATAGAAAGAATAATCACATGTAATATCAAGCCGTATCTTTTTCTTACAGTGTTTTTAATGTCACTTCACTATGAGCAACTTACCCTTGCTATACTTGCAGCTATTTAAATGCATCTCAGAAAACATTTAGCTTTGAATATGAAGGGTAAAGTAGTTCATTTTTATGTTAAGTATAGCAGACTATTTAGAAATGTAGAATTTTTTTTATACCTTCTGAAGGAAAGTCATACAGTGATGTCTAGCACACCAAAGTAATTAAATTATTAAAATAAAAATGAAGAAGAGTCTGAATTTCTGAAAGGATGAATCTGATCATTGCCTCATCTTATGTTGCTCTCAGATATCCACTATAATACTGTACTGCTTTCTGCTAGGCAGGCAGCGTCATCTTTGTATGTATGTACTGTCTGCATATTGGCCTGGTGTTTGTTTAAAGTGAATGTTAAAAACTTCAAATGTATTATCAAGCTGTAAAAAGACTTATATAGAATAGAGGGTTATATAAACAAGCTACACGTTTCTTGATGATATTCTAACTTGGAGTTCATGTTTGTTCAGTGCTTTTTGCCAGGTGGAAAATGTTTCTCGTCTGGATCATTTTTTCAACCTCTTCTTCCAGCGAGCACTTCAGCCTGCAAGATTCAACTCAAATGCCAGCTCCAGTGCTCAATACTATGATACCTTCAGTGCCTTATTCTTAGACAGTCTCCCAGGCTTGCGCTGGCTGACATTGCCTCAGGAAATCAAGGTAATCTTGTTTTCACATCTCTTCAGAAAAACTTATACGTGAAAGGCCAGAAAATTGACTCAGGTCTTGCATATATCGTTTGGTGTCATTGTGTAATTTAAATGTGCGTTACCCATCCAAAGCCACCATTTTTCCTCCAGGATCTTTTATTTAAATTTAGAAGTATGGAGTCAATTCCAGAGGAAACAGAATGCTATTGTGAGTGTAGTTTGGTGATTTCCTTTTCTTCTATTTTATTTCTTTTCTTTTCTATTTTTCTTCTGTTTTTCTATTTCTTCTATTGTGCCTAATGTGACATTTCTTAACTGTTTGGTGGGGTTCTTAGAACCAGTTTAAACATTCTTAGTTCTTAGAACCAGTTTAAACATTCAGATATTCCTTGCACCTACTTTTTTTTCAGTAGTGTGACATGGGGTAGCAATCATCTCACCTTCTCTTTGGTCTATGATAGAACTACAGTTGAGGTGCTAATCCTGATCTCTTCGTACTAATGAATGGGGAAAATCCAGCAATTCACTTGTTCTACTCCAGCTTTTTGCTTTAGTATTAGATGAATCATGCCTGAGGACTCTAACTATGAAGACAGCCTGAAGTGAAGGGACCATCTCAAACAGGCATGTCTATACTGTAGGTATTTAATGAAATGCAGCCTCATTCAAGGACTAAACATGTGACCAAATAGCTTAAATCTGTTGGTCTTCAATGAGACAGACACATTTTAAAATTTTACTCTTTTCTATTTAAAATAGTCTTATTAACATATAAAACTCTAATATCTAGTCAAGTTCCTGTTGAGAAGGTTACTTTCCATACAATGCACATACTGTAATGACAATTTCCTACTATTTTATATATTATCCTATATTCCGGAAGTATCAGGTATTGCAGTAAGGCAGGGTGGACCCCTTAGATTTTCAGTTTTTTCTTCAGGGTTTAGAATGAGTGAAAGAAAGATTCACTGCATTTTCATTTTCCATCCTCCAGTGAATATTAGTGAATCTAGGGAATAATGTTTTGTTTACCTTCATGATTTTTAAGTATTTTCAACCCTTCAGTTAGGAAGTTATTTTCCATATCATGTGAAGAGTTGTTTGCATATCATATTTATGTCAGCATATGTTTTTACTAAATTTCACAGCAGAAAAAAAATGAAGCTGGAAAGATGTTAAGGGTATGTTAGTGCCGTCCTTCTAGAGTTTGTTTTCTTTAGTAACTATTTGCCATGATTTAATGCAGATGAAACAGTTGGAGAATTTTAAGCCGGGAGTTTTCTTCCATGGAAAGACCCAAAATATTTGTATGCTTGTGGCTAACACAGTTAAGGTTAATACTAATTATTAGACAATGATTGTGATCTGAGCTGACCAGAAGCTGTTACCTAAACTTATTTAATGAGTAACAGGAAAGAGACTTTGCAACAATCTTCACTGTTGTCCATGAAAGTAAAGACACCATGCAATGGAAAATTACAAGTTCTTCTCAGAATGGCTCTGCAAGAGGACTGAGTTTGGATGCTCAAATGACCTTACTTCTGCAGTGGTGTGCTCAAATAAAGAGCCTATAAAGAGCAAAGTATTAACTAAGACTTTCCTCGCTTTCTGAATTGCATGTTTAATGAGAAGACCTCGTGTATGATTTTTGTAAGTCTGCTTTCTGGGGAGGGAATAAGTGGTAAGTCTTTCAACTTGAATATTGACAGGGTTTGCAGACTTGTTTCAGGCTTGCTACTGTTCATTAATAAAAGTTGCCATGGACATTGCAAGCTATGCATCACTGAGTGCCATTCATTACTAAACAGATTCCTGTTTGCTAGTGCAGACTTCTCTCTCCTTTCTTCATAATACAAATTGTCTTCTCTGCCTTGGTTAGCAGACCCATAATGATTTAGTTCTCTCTACCTTGCCCCATGGTATCTGTTTAGATACGCTTTTGCTAAACGTGCTGGATGTGTTGGGGAGAATTTAGTCCAATAGCTGCATTTATACTACATGTTATATATGTTGTAGCTACAGAAGTATGTATTCCCTGAGTGTCTCAAGAAAGCTACTTGTATATCATAACTCCAGAGTTATATCTGCTATCCAAGTGAAAAATCTAGGGGGGTGCACATAGTCCTGTAACATACACATCCACTCACTTGCAAAATCCATGCTCCATAACCAAGGGGAATAAAATGTTTATGCAATACGTAATTGTAGAATATGGCCAATCTGCAATCTAATATACATTAGAAATGTAACTCAGTGTATCTCTGTTGTCACATGTTCTTACACAGGAAATGACATGTTTATTTTCTTGTGCTATTTGGTGACAATTTTTTTTTCTCCATGTCTTTTTTCCTCCATGCTTTTTTTCTTCTCTCTTACGTTTCTGCAGGGAGAGACTGTAACAGTTTGTTCTCTACCTTAGCTTTCAGGTTGCTTCCTTTCTTGTAAAATTCCAGGAATTTAGAAAACAATGTATTTTATTTTATATGTATGATATGAACAGGGGGTTCCAAAATTATCGTAGATCATCCACATCTGTAAGAATTTTTTTTTTTCCTAGAAAAAAAGAGGAAATTTCTGCAACATAAGTTTTAGTGAAGATCTTTTTATTTGTGTATTCTTTGGAGAATACAAATGTCAGTTGCTTGTTGGGCAGAAAGCCATTTATATCTTAACTGGGGAAAAAGCTGAGAGGTTGGTTAGTTTGTTGACTGCCAACAGCGTAGCTGACATTTCTGTTTGCAAAACTGGCTGTATTTCAATTAGAGTCAGCTTGTTTATATAGCCCAAGGAGTTTGTCATGGTGGGTTTAGGTTCTTTTCATTAGTAGCACATTTATGTCGTGAACTTCAGTGGCTAGTACAATATTCTTTAAAGCAAAGTATTTTTAGTAAAATTTGGGTTAACTAACCTCCTGAAGTAAGAGAAATGCAAAAGCACAGAGCAGTATGAGCAGAACAGAGCTAATGTATGAGAAAGTGCTGCAGAATTCCATAGAAACAAAAACCAAATGTATTGTGAAAAAGATTTGTCTAATAACCCAGTTGGATATAGTAGCTTGCCAGATTTCTGTGTTGTCTGTAGCCTTCGAGGAGTAGTCACTAGGCCTCATATTTTAAACCAAGCTGGAATAAGGGACATCTCCTTTATATACAGAACAGCGGGTTCTGAAGCCAAGCAAGCAGAGAAATTTTAGTCTCAAAGAAGAGGGAAATGCATAGCAATTGAAGAATATTTCTTTAATCTAATAAATTGAGGTGTTCCTGATACCTGATACTGCAATTTTTCTCCATTCACTTTGTACATGTGAATCCTAATCTTCTCAGATTAGCAAGATAAAGTGAACTATCTATTAGTGAATATGCTGATATCGTAAATTAATGTGTTAGAAGAGTCTATTAAAATGTTTAAATATTTCAGATGGAAATTGACACAGCACTGAGCGACCTTGAAGCAGCTGATTTTGCAGAACTGGTAAACATTTGTCTTAGTTATTTGCATCGCACAGTATCCCTTTACCTTGCTCATATTCAGTAGCTTAAAAAAGCACTAACTACAAACTCATCCATGTTTTGAAATCAAGTGGGAGTCAAAGTAAAAGTATACTGCATTACTCTTGTTTTAAGACAGATCGATTTTACCCATTTTTATCCTGAATTTTTCTCTATGGTTAATGTTATCATATTGTAATCCTCTAGGATTAGTCACTGAAAAACATCATTTACTATAAGTTAAGTCCATGGGTTGTTTACAAGAACACTCTAATTTCAACATAGCTGTTGTTTGTTGTTCCTTTTTCTTTGTATAGAAACTGTCTCCTTCCCAAGCAATTGCGAACAAAACTCAAAGCTTCCGTGGAGCTCAGAGAACTTGAGTTACCAGTTTGAATAAAACAATTACAAGTTATGCATACTTTTAACACTCATAAAGAAGAAGATAGTAATTTACTCGAGTATATGCTCTTTAATTCCTCTATAGGATAGTGAGATGTAAACATATTGAATTTTCAGTTTTACTTCTGAAAGAGCTTTCTTAAATCACATTGCAGAATAATTAGTTGTATTTTTAAATTATTATAATATACCTAATAAATAATATGATTTTAAAATATCAGGTGTAAAGAACAGGTGCTTGATTTAGTATATTTAGTATAACAATTTGGGACATAGATTTCTTCATTTCTAAAGATAGCTAAAGTTGCTTAAAGCTTAAAATGTAAATTAGGTAAATGTACAGTCAATGCTTCAAAAGAACAAAAAACAAAATATGGATGTATATTTACAGAAAAGGATGTTTAGGTTGTATTTTATTTCAAATAAACTGATTGCACCCAATAATTTAAAATATTCTAGACTCCATATGAAGTTAGTCTTCTCTTAGACCAATGGGCATCTAAACTAAAAAAAAAAATAAATAAATAGGTGTATTTGGGGTAAAATTGCAAATACTGGATAAAAAAATGCTTTGACTTGGAAGTTTTGCTCTAGGAGGGCCTCTGGTGTCAGTAGTTATGCTTCAGTTACTTTGCTGTTAAGAATTGTGAGAATTAGCATATCCTACAAAAATAGTTTATGAATAGATAAACACTGGATAGGAAATCTGAGCATCTTACCTTGAGCTGAAAATTGTTAGAGACAGCTGTAGTGACATGAAAATCTATAAGGGAGGCTAAAAAGTTTGTATTTCTCTTAACTGTTCAAAATACCGTTATTAATGCCTTTCTGATGCCCTAATGATATAAGCAGTCAAAATACTGAATAAGTCTGATTACAGATGATTGGAATTAAATGTTTTACTTGTATTACTCAAAAATTCTGAACTAAAAATCCATGCCTTTGTTCACAGTCTGAAGATTACTACGACATGAGAAGATTATATGTGATTATGGGCTCTTGTCTCTTCTACAAGGTAGTATTACTGATTAAGGTCTATAGATAAAGAAAATACAACTTCTAGAAATCTAACCCAGTCACGGAGTAACTCTTTTCAGAACCTTACAAATAGGAGAAATATGTGATTACTTTAAGTGTAATTTTAGTGACACAAAACTCAAACACCATAACAACAAAAAAAGATTTCATGAAGTGAAATATGCTATATGATCAATAAGGACAAAATACTTGTTTGAAGTTGTCCTACGTAAATTCTGTCATATGACCCGTGGATTGAAGAAAGACAGTAATATGAGATTAAAATCACACTTGAATTGATTCAGTGTCATATTCTGACAGTATCTCTTTGTGGGGGTATTGGTATTATTTAATAGAGACAACAGCTCCTCTATTTTTAATGGGTCTTCAAATCAAAGGCTTGAAAATTTGGATCAACAGCTTTTTTCTCTTCGACCTTAATTATAAATTTATTTTACTAAATATAGATAATGTATTTGACAATATAAAGAAAGAGATAACAGTTATAGCTTTAAGAAATTTATTGTCATCCAATTGATCTTTATGCCAGTAGCATTATGAGAGTAAACTGTCAGCATAATTTTTTTGCATAGTTTTGTCAGCACATTTCTTACTGAATACGCTTCCTTTTCTGTGTTTAATTAAGGGTTACTTGATCGGTAATCACTTGCCAAAGGAAGATCTTATTGATATAGGTTTATATAGCCGGCACTATTGTCTGTTACCCTTGGCAGCAGAACAGAAGATTGGTCAGTTAGTGATATGGCGAGAGGTATTTCCAGAGCATCACATCCAGCCATGCGAAGTGTCAAGTTTTACAGGATACAGAGAACCTGAAGCAAGATACTTCTTATTGATAGTTGGCTTGGTAAGTTAACACCTGCAGTATGGCCCTTCTCCTGTGCTCTGTGTTGGTGTTGTGTATTGTCTGTTGTTCAGTAAGATCATAAATTTACACCTGTTACTTTAGTAATTTTAGAAAATACTCATATTGTAGCTGTTCATGGGATAGAATTTCTCAGGTAGTACAATAATTTCTATGTTTGTAAAGCTTGCAAGTTCTAATAATTCTCGTTACCTTTTCTACTTTCTCACTTCACTTGAAAATGTTTTTACTTTCATGATTTTGTATTTTCAGATAACTCACTTAAGATTTTTTTAATGTGTTGTGGGTTCTTTTTGCCTTTTTTTTAAAGGCAAGTTATCTAATGAGTGAGTAAATCATACTCTTTTTTGTTTGCATGTTAACTTAGATAACATGTAAGGAGAAAGATCTCCTTGGACGTGATTTGATAAGAAAAATAAAAAACTCCTCTGGGGAGGAGGAAGGACTGCTGAATATTGTGCTGTTTTTTGTCCAAGTATCTGATAAGATATAATGCAGTACATGCTATATTTGAAATCAGAGGCTAATGTTGCTACCTCCATGTTTACAGAGACACTTCATGCTGTGTGTTCTGCTAGAGGCAGGAGGCTGTGCATCAAAAGCCATTGGGAATCCAGGACCAGACTGTATATATGTAGATCAGGTCAAAGCCACTATACTTCAGCTGGAAGGAATAGATGCCAGCATAGAGGAAAGGCTAGATTCTCCTTCCATTCCACCTTTATCTTGTGCAGACTGGTTCCTTCCTGCAACACGTGACAAACTGGAGAGCTTGACCACCTCACCTATCCTAAGCAAGATACAAAATGCTTCCAAAACAGTAACTACTCCAGCAAGCAAAAGGACCCTGTTTGGTGACTCATCCTTAACGACACGTAAGCCAAGTCCTACGAGAAGCAGTGGAGGACCTGACCATGGCAATGAAGGTCCTGCAGAAGATGAAAGCAGTAATCCACAAGCTGTAGCCGATCAGGTCTGAGAACAGGGACAAAGCAAATTGTTTAAGGTTCTTCTGGGCTTGGGGGAGGTAGCAATTCTTCTAAAAATTCACAAACTAAAAACAAACAAACAGGAAAAAAAAAAAACACAAGTAAATAAAAATTCAAGAGTTACTGAATTCGGTAGAAAATACTGCTGTCTTGGGAAGCTTTGGGTCAGCCTCACAGCCATCACATTTTTTATTGTGATTATTATCGCTTCTAAATATTTGGTTTTCGAATGACTAAATTGGGCACAGCTGTGTTGGAATCAGCAGAAGTAATTGGAGAATATCCCCAAAATAATAATGGTGTAAACAAAAGTGATTATGACAACTTGCTGTACAGTTGTACAACTGTTTCTAATCAATTTCAGCCTAAAATAGACTAAAATACATTTATGTTAGTTGATGCAACTGAGCCTTTTTAAAAGCACTATTTTTTTTTTTTTAAATAGGTGATTTCCTGGTTTGATTTTGTTCTTTCCTTACCTTTATTTTGTCTGTTAGTTCATCTATCTATTTGTTTTTCAGGTCACTAGAAAAAAACATACCCTACCAAATCCATTTAATTTAGGAAACCCTAAAAAGAACCTGTCAGAAAAGGATATAGAACTCTTTAACGCTATCAAGTAAGATTTTTTCTATTAAATATTTGATTTTTAAGGTCATACATGCATGGATTTTTGAAGATGCACAGATCACAGAAGTTCTTGCATACTGTTATTCTAACCAAAATTTTGCTATGCAAGCTCTTAATGGAGTATAAATTAGAAGAGAAGAGTTTCTCAAGAATATTTCAGTAGAATGTATCCGTGTCACATAATTATATAACCTTAGAAGCTCAAATAAATGAGTTTTTGGCACACATATACCTTGTGTGTCCCTGGTGCCACTAAGCACAAAGGACATAGAAGCCATGACCTTCCTTGTTTCTAGCTGTTCCTTGTGACAATGCAGTCTGATCTGGTATTTTGTTTGGGTGCTAAAGAAAGCATTCCTTTCCTTCAAAGCTTTTATTTCTCCCTTCCCTTTTCTTTTTTGATGAGAAGCTTTGAGATCACAAGCAGAATATCTAACTAGCACCAGACTTGCTTGAAAAATACGTATTTGTGTATAAACAGTCCAAATTAGCAGATTTCCTTGGTATAAAAATAAGCACCTTTCAAATATGTCCTTTGTTGTACTCCATTGTAGTTACTGGAAAATACAGGTCTGTCCTAAGGAAAAAAAAGTTTGCATTGTTTAACTGCAATTTCATATAAATGTATTTGAATACTAAATGAATTCTCCTATTTTTGAAGGTTGACATCTGGTCCTGAGAATACCCTCTTCCACTATTTATCTTTGGAAACAATGCAAGGAATCTTTATTACTCCAACTCACAAGGAAGTAGCACAACTCGGTGGCTCCATCCACCCACAGTTAATCGAGAATTTTCATCGTTGCTGTCTTTCAATTCGCTCAGTTTTTCAGCAGTCCATGAAAAACCAAGTATGAAAGCTTTGTCTTACTTCAGTTTTCCTCTCTATTTACCTTTTCCACTCAGTATTTCAAGATCGTTTTCACTTAATTATTTAAAAAAGATCACTGACAGGCAACTCTTTGTGTGATAGTTTATAATGCACCTTCACTGTTATGGGAGGGTTCTGTCTCAGAGCATCCAACCATGTGTGCATGTAATTATGGTCAGTCCCTCCAGCCATGCCCTCAAAGTAAGTACTCCATGTATCCAGTATAGTATTTTCTTTTTCTGTTTGATGTTAGGACTCTAACTTAGCAAAAAGTTTCAAATACTGGGTTTAAGAGCTGTAAGAAGTAGAGTGAAAAGGGTCATTTTTTAGTCATATTAATTCTATAAGGAAACTTCACACTGGCAGGAAAAGGAGATGCAGGCCCTCTGTTTTTCTCAGAAAATGTTTGATATGAACAGTGATAGTGCAGCCTCCCCTCAGTGCCCTGTCATAGTGTCTGAGCACTGACCTGAAGACGGCCTCTCTGCAGCTGAGAGGGTGTTCATTCTGTTTTTTTGGTCTCTGTGCTACCTGAGATTGCTTAGCCACTTGCCAGACACTAACGTCTCTAATAGTTTGCCAACACTGGCATCTGTCTAGAAGATGACTGGCTACAGTGATCAATTCCTCTTAATTATGCTGCTAAACCATCTCTTGGATTTTAGATCATGTGGGATGGCAGAATAGGTGAGGGTTTTTTTCTCTGTACAAAGATAGCAATTCAGGCTTTGCTCTACACTTAGGCTGCAGCCCAGTGGCAGCTGCCAGACCTTTATGCGGGTACTAGGAAAAAAAAAAAAGATATGATGCCAGCAGCTGCCCTGCCTTGATTTTGGTTACAACTTTCAGTTTTCTTCAGATGATCCATACAAAGTAAAACAGTAATAGTAATGCAGAAATCTAAATAATAGGTATAAGAATCAATTAGAGACAGTCAGAACAGACATTTTGCGTTCAATGCACTTTTTGTTTTTCTAGAAGTCTGGTTTGTTAATTGTGCAGTTGATTTTTACTGACATGAGCCAAATTGGGGTAACATTTCGTCCATGATAATCTTGCCATCTATTTAATCCATTTGAAAAAGAAATAATGAAATATAAGTGGAATGATGTATACCAGTTGCAACTTTTTAGGTCCTAAAGTGACGATCCAAGTGTGTTAAATGAGAAATGGGGAATAACAGTACAAATTGAATGAATGCCATTTGGAAATATCAGTATAATTTCTCTTCATGTTTTCTTTAAGTTACTGAAGAAGTCGATTCTGGTTAGACTGTGTCTCATAAATCATCTGGGAAATTTTATTTATTTATTTTTAAGTGTTAGAAAAACGGATTAATTTGGATTGTTCTGTCAACTTCCAGTGACGCTGAGGTTTGGCTGAATGGAACGTTGGCAATGGGTCTTGTGTTTTGGGCACTTCTATCAGGAGATCTGGAAACCCTAAAGGAAGCAGAGAGAATACACAAACGTGTCTTATGATCAAATTGCTTTCGTTTACAACTGTTACAAATGTTAAATGGACGGTTTATAATTCAAACCAAAAATACAAATGAAATATGAAAAATAAATAAACAAATGATTCAACTGTTAGGTATAGTTCATAAAAACTGAAGAACTCATGCTTAAAAGTGAAAACTTGTGTTTTGGCAACAGGTATCTTGGCATAGGCTTTTCTGGGTTCTTTGGGGCAGCTGTGTTCATTCTGCTGTGAAAGTCAAAAATAATTAAACACATGCTGGAGAACAAAGTTTCTCTTAGAGAAAAATCTAAGAATCTCCTGTAAGCCAGCGTGGTAACAAAAGAATTAAGAGTATTTTGACTCTACAAATTGGGGGTAGTTTTGTTGGTTTCAACAATTAAGGCTGAAATTGTCCAGTTGCATTAGAGCATGAGGAAAATGTAAAAGAATTAATAGAAGTTTTCTGTGTTCATAGGGCATGACAAAAAAAAAAAATACACTATCATACTATTTATTCTTTGACATCACATCAGGTAAATATCGTTATGGTTTAGGATTTAGAAAATTGCAGCAATTATGCAAAATTATTGTAATTAGTAATAATTTTTACCAACCTTTTGAGAACTGAAAATTTACCATTTCTAAATATGCACAAAAATGTTGAAAAAAAAGAAAAGTTGAAATTGAGCAAAAATAAGTTCTGTAGTTTTAAACCCTATAATATATATGCCTGGATCTAACAGGCAGCTCTGGCCTAATTTTCTTCATCATTGTCATATATTCTTACATTTAAAATCACAAGGAAATAATTCTTTATGCACATAAAAGTACAGAAGTAAATCATATCCACACTTCTATCCAGTATCCCATCTTAATGCATTATTTTTCTTTAATATTTTCAGCATGCATGTAAGACATGCTAAAATTTAAACAAATGTCCACTTGGAAATTGCATGATAGCAACCCCATTTTTTTGTTGAAGAAAAATGTTAGAATACAGTCTAATGATATTCCTTAAATCTCTTCAGTAGCAGCATTAGCAAAAACATGTTTAACATTTTATAATATTACATACTAAAGATGCAGTATTGTCATTTATTGTGAAATTTCTTCTACTGTGTGTAGTAATTTAGAATATACTGTATGAATTTAATCCAAAGCATGCTTAGGGAAATTTAAAAGACACTTGCTCAAGCAAATATTAGCCATTTTGTTTTCTAAGTACTAAGGTTCATTTTTCTTCAACATTTTGAAGAGAGACAGCATAGTTACGGTACTGTGAACATCTTCTCACTTCTAGACACTCCCTGCATTTTCAATATTATAGGCACATTGAGATATGTTGGTTTACGCTTCTGCATATGGCAGACAAGTTCCCTATTTCCCTATGTATGTTTTGTTGTTGTTGTTTTCCCCTCCAGGAAAACCTTTTCTTTCCTCTCAGAAGCAACTGATTGGAACAGAAGTTGATTGGCATGGTTGCAGTGGAACCGGAGATGCCTCATCTCAACAGTTCTCTTAAAGCAGATTTGTTTCAAAGGGATTTCCACGCATTTCCATAATTTTTTCTCACTTCTCATGCTTCAAAAAGAAAATAAGATACAAAGTTTGTTTTTCCACTGTGTAGATGTAAGCAAAAGAGTAATAAACATCCTTTGACTTCAGGGGTAGAAGAGTTGGACAAGTGACAAACCCTTTCAAAATTTCTCCTCAGCTTATCTCAGTGTCTGTTCCCTTGCCATTTCTGGTAGAAAGAAAAGTAGCTTTATTGGACTTACAGAACTGTTGAGCACGAAGACAGAGCAAAGTAGGCTTTGCGCATGCAATTTCATCTTTACTAAATGGGTACCAGGGGTTCAGTTCCACACCTGGAACTTCTACAGGTTTTGTTCAAAAGCTCTACATAAAGCACAGCCCTCAAAAAAATAAAATCAACAAAACACACAAAAAAATGTACAATGCATTTATACTAAGTATAAGCAACAAAATGCTCTGAGCAAAGTACTTCAACTGTTTGCTTAAAAAAAAAAAAAAAAAGAAAGAAACTCCTGCCTGACCAAGTTTATTGAATAGGCTTTTAATATCACAATTCTTAATTAAGAAGGCAAACAAAGAAAGGAAGATGAGAGGGTGAGAGGTTTAACTGTTTAACACACTGGTTAGCTAACTGTTTAACACACTGTTTAACTGTTTAACACACTGTTTTTAATGAAGCTGTAAGAGCTCAAATATCTTATTAAAGAGAATGTTTTTCAGATAAAAAAAAAAGGATTGTGCTATACAACCTCCTGATTGCATAATAAGGAAAAGAAAAAAAAAAAAAAGCCTGTTTATGCCAAAGTAACAAAATTGTGGAGAAAAGAATCATATAAGCAAAATAGTTCTCTTCTAAGTCTGGGTTTTTGAAAGCAATATCATTCAGCAGCTTCCTGAAGAAAGCATGTTATAATTATATTTGCTAGTAATTTACGTAAAAAAATAATTCTTTACTAACACTTCACCTTTTTTTTTTTTTTTACAGAAGAAGAAGAAGAAAGGCGGTAAGATTTCAGAATTTAGTACAGCAGATGACGACCTAGATCTGATAAGAGAACATGGAGTTTTGTTTGAGTGCACTCCTGATAACTGGAATGATCAGAAGAAACCACCACCAACAATGAGTTACTGGGTTGTGGGGTAAGTTTGAAGACAAATGTATTTACATGTATTTCTCCCCAAATTTTCCATGTTGAATGTGCCACTGTACTCTTTAGGAAAAAAATTCACTGTAACAAATCACAGAAATACTCAAGTGGACTCTGATGAGGTAGCTTTGATTTGGGATCTAGGAAGCTGCATTACTATGATGTTCCACCTGGTGTTAAACATAAATGTTGTTAACTTGGGAGCAGCATGATAGTGTGTTAATGGTGCAGAGCTGGCACAAGGCACAGCACTGCACCATGCTGCTCTGTGCTCTGCAAACATGCTAAAGTACTGTAATCGTACTCTGAACTTGCTTTCAATGTCCTGCCATTACCACAAATCACAATCCGTTTGCTATGATGTCACTTAAGTGATTTTCGTAATGACATGCATGGTTATTGCTACATAGCTAAGCCTTATTTGCCTGACAGAACAGCATTTTGCCCTAGGTATTAAATAGTAAGATTTTTTTTTAATAATTAAATGTAATGAGAAAATAGCATGTAGCATCACTTGACAATTAAGAACATAGCAACTCTTATAATTGTTCTAAGCCTAGGCCGGTAAGCGAGTAGCCACCACGTCTTATGTGTTGTTCTGTCCTCTATTGACCGTATTTTTTGTGATGTCTACTTTGTATCTGCATTAAGCAGACAGTCATGTCAAGATTAGTCAGTCAGCAGGATTTTGCCTTCTTTTCTGGATTTATCTTCTATCTTCGGTATTCCTACTAGAAAATAGAAAAATGCAAACGGTTGGTGAAGTGGAAGCTATACTTTCACCATATGAAATAATAACTCAGTATGGCTAGGGTGTGAAAGGAAGATAAATGATTATGATTCATTAATGACTATTCATTATGACTATTGGTTAGTTCAACTATTGCGCAAATATGAAAGTCTTTAAAATCGGCAAAATATATTTTGAATATGGCATAAGAATTTATTTCTACTGTAATGAGAAGAAATGTCATCCACAGGTAATGATTTTGGCCAGGAAAAATAATGCAGAAATCCTCTACTTTTTTTTTTTTTTTTTAATCTTTTTTTGAACCCGTTTGCCTTCAAGTCAGATGTTTAAAAGCAAAACAAAAACAACTGAATCTCACAGTGGATTGTACATAACTGTAGTTCATTTGCTAATAAGCACTATCCTTATCCATTTGCTTATAAACGCTATGGAAAAATTAAGAACCTGTCAAATGTCAAGGCTGCTGTTGATATCTTTTAAGTAATAACAATAATCTTTCAGTCTCTGCATTATCAGATCATGTGTTACATCAGGGACAATGCATTAATATTGACAGAGCTATATGCTACATTTTAATGCTACACAGAGTTGTGCACAAGTATATTAAGAGCTTTCCTATTTAGTTCTTTCCCTTGAAGACTGTGTTGGAGTGACATATAGGAATGTATAGGCCAGTCAGTATTTAGTTTAAAAATGAGTAAATACGTAAATACAGGAGCTTGTTCCCAAGTAACCTGATTGCAGCTTGTAGTCCCAAAAGCTGGATTACTGCAAATACAACAGCACCATTGAAATACGTACTAAAAACCTGAAGACTGGTTTTCAGGTAGTCTTGAGAAAACTGAACAGAAGTTCTTGCTTTAAGAATCTTAACACATGAAATCAGTAAGATAATGCAGGAGAGCCACAGCAATTTGCTAGCAGTTTTACGCAGCAATTATTCTTAATGTCATACTGAAATCTTAAGATTACAACCAGAATGTATTGAACGGTCAAAAAGAAAAAGATTGCACCTGTGATTTCTTATTTTTATGTGTTTTGTTGTTTTTCAGGAGACTCTTCCTGCATCCAAAACCTCAGGAGTTTTATGTCTGTTTTCATGACTCGGTCACGGAAGTCGCTGTTGAACTAGCCTTTAAACTGTCCTTTGGTTTAGCTACATAGATGAGCTTCGTGAATATTCAGGCATCCTTGTCGTCTCTTTAAAGTTCTTAAGTATAATGAGAAATTAACTCAGCTGTGGTATCCACATATAGCATATCTTTGAAATGCTTTTAAGAAGGTAAATTGTCATTGTGGTATGACACAGGTGAAACTTCAGAGATGACTCCAATGACCTCATCAATTGAATACTTTAAAAGTTTTCAGAGAACCAAAGTTTTTATTTTTATATATTGCCAAATTATTTATCCCAATTGTAACTTTATTATATGAAAACCTCACATAATTTGTACGTTCACTGCTGTTCAGTGTACAGTATTCAATATAAAATGATGAGTTGATATCCTCAAAGTGCTCTGTGAATATTTGGCACTCACCGATGGGGAAAAATATATTTACCATTAATGAAAATTTTGTACCTCTAAAGGCATAAAAAATACTGAAGTGTATTCAGTAACATTGTGTTAATCAACACAGAGAAATATTTTAGCAGATTAATGGCATGTAGCCACACAAAACTGATGTCTTACAATTTTTGTCAGTATAGTCTGCTGCACACCCAAGGCCTAAAAGCGTGAGTGATGTTTTACTTGATTTCATGATTTTTATTGTAAATAACATATTTGTTAAAAAACAATTTTGAAGGCATAAAAAAAGAGGTGCTGAGGGTGATATTTTTGTTTATGCATGGATAGCTACTTTTGTATTATAATCATAATTTCTTAATAAAAATGTTTATTTTTCAAAGACCAGTACAGTGCTACTCTATTTTTTTAACTTAACATATTTTCTCTTTTGTTTATTTGAACAGTGTTTGTTTAGCTAAGTCTTCTACAATTTACTACTGGATATTAAAAAAATAATTTAGCTTACATCAGTACAAGGCAAGAGAAGGCAAAATACTTGCAAAATCAAGGAGAAGTCTTCTGCAGAATTCAGCTTTCCTACAAATTGTTGAAAGGTTTGTTATAGACTAGCTGCTCCTAAAGCTTTCTGTACTAAAGGTTTAGTTTAAAATGTATGATTTTGGGCCATTTTTACCCCTAGCCAGCACACTTGGATTTGGCCATCTGCGTAGTGTCTCATCACATTCCATGTCAAGAGTGCTTTTTTTTTTTCCTTTCTGCTGTTTCTACTTGGTTTTCCTAAGTGTTTTTCATAAAATGCATGACTAAAATTGCATTTTAAACAATGGGATCAAGAAAATAAAATTAAGTATTTAGAAAAGTAAATTCAGTTCCATAGGCTCTCATGATCAAATCCTTTGATCTCGTTTTAACAAGTAAATTTCACTGTTTAGACTAATTCTAAAATAATCAATCAAACGCCTTTGACTGTTCACTCCCTACAAGTGATTCACAGCTTGGCTTGAATCATTCAACAGTTGCTTTAATTCCAATCATAGAAGTCTTAGGCCTGAAGTTTAAGCATGTGATGGAAACTTTTATAAATCAGCCCTCTCCAGAATTTATGGCCCCTTGATGAGAAATAGTGTATCAGTTTGAGATGTACAGAGCTGAGTTGCATAAATAGTGCTTTTACATTTGTGTTCCTCATCTGTAAATTAAATGATATGAGATTTACTGTTTGGGAAAGAGAAAGAAGAAAAAAAAAAAAAAGGAACAGTATGGAGTATGGATGATACTTGAGTAACACCTTTAAAAAGTCTAAAATAGGAAGGCTTTGAATATTGTGTTTCTTTGTAGATGGTAAAAGGAATACAGAAAAGAAGGCCATCATTATAAACAATGTAAACAAAGACTTAGGTCTAGTTAATTTTGCTAACTTAATAAAAGATTTTTTTCTAGGTTACTTTGCTGCCAGAGTTGTGGGCTAACCTCTGTTGACTTAATTGTGTTAAGTCAATGCAGAAAAAAGCAGTGTGAATACGTAGGTATGTGTGGAGAAAGGGGGAACGGAAGGAAAGAGACTCCTTCAGCAGCAACCAGCTATTTAGATTGGCTTGCTCCTTCACAAGAAACTCCATCTTAAAAAGAATTAATGGCATCTATCAGGATATGGTACAACTTTTATACTCAGTGTCGTTCAGCAATAAAATGTGTTGCAAAATCTGCCTTAATCTTGTTGATACTACACTTAAGGAGACTCTTAACAGTTAATTTGTTCCCCAACTGAGCATAGACTTGATTTTGTAGATTTTTAAGAGATGTTTAAAAAGAGCCCCAAAGGATAGGACTTAATTTCCTACAGAACACAGATTTTTATGAGCTTTAATACAAATCTTGTAGCATAGTAACTTGCAGGAAGATTATAGCTGTGAATCGTGGTGTATGGAATTAATGTTTAAAGGAACAGATATGGAGAAGCTACTAAAGGAGTTGAACTGGCAGTGTTAAAGTTCAGAAGAAATGTATTTATTTTGTGTTTAAATTATGACTTACAAGAATTATTGGCAAGGCAATGTGTACAAAAATTCAGTGGAGTATCAGGGTTAAAATGACTAATTTCAACGGAATGCAAGCAATAAAATCATTTTAAAAACATTAATGATTAAAAATGACTGAATAAATATGGTGCTTCATGCCTTTTCTAGTAATAAAGTTTGTAGATACAGGGGTGGTAAAGCAATGAAAGAAAATACTTTCTTGCTATCAGCAGTTCTAGCAGGAATTGACACTTACGAACTGTAACAGAATGGGTATAAATAACATACTAAATTGTGTTTTGACTTACTATATATGATGTTCATTAACACACAGTTCAATGGAATCAGCAAATATTCTGGCTTAAACCATTTGTTAGTTGTTCTTTTTCCGGGTTTCTTGTTGTGGGAGAGGGACCAGTTTCCACAGCTTACAGAAGGTTCTGGAAAGTTCCCCAAGTTTCTGTGAAGCTTGCTGACTGCAGTTCAGGGATGGAGGCTATTTAGGAATAAGATTTGTTGCTCTTTGTTCAATTGTGTTTAATATAAAGGTAGCTGTAGGTACATGTGGCAGTGCCTCGTTCACTCTTGTAGCTTTCGATTCCCAGGTGCAGTCTGTGTCCCTTACATGTTCTGCCAGCTGATCACCAAATTGGCCTGAATGATGTGTTCAGGTTGGATATTAGGAAGAACTTCTTTACTGAAAGGGTTGTTAGACATTAGAATAGGCTGCCCAGGGAAGTGGTTGAGACACCATCCCTGGAGGTCTTTAAAAGATGTTTAGATGTAGAGCTTAGGGATATGGTTTAGTGGAGGACTGGTTAGTGTTAGGTCAGAGGCTGAACTCGGTGATCTTGGAGGTCTCTTCCAACCTAGATGATTCTGTGATTCTGTAACAGGCCTCTTGCTTAACTTTTCCCCTGGCAGCCAACAGGGAAAAAACCTGCCACAGTGTCCACTGAGGGCCTGGATTTCGGTGCTCCAGAAAGGTGGCAGAAATGACCAGCCACCAAGGGAGGGCAGTGCCATTCCCCTGCCCCTTGAGGCCATTAATGGCAGGGTGAAGCCGCGCAGCCACCACTAGGCGTTGCCACCTGCCCAGGGGCCACGTTCACGCAGGGGCCAGGTGCTTCTGGCTGCCGAGGGTACGGGGTGGAGGTGGGCAACATGGCAGCCCCACAGGGCTGGGGGGCTGCTCGACCCCATGTCCTTCACAAAGGCCCTGCTGGCCAGCAGTGTGGCAGCTGCCATCTCCAAGATGGCCGTGGTGCCCATCAAGCGAGTGAAGCTGTTGCTGCAGGTGCAGCCTTCATCCAAGCAGATCCAGGCGGACCAGCAGTACAAGGAAGGGCATGATGGACTGCTTTGTGCCCATGAGCAAGGTATGAAGCCCAGGAAACAAAAGCTTTTAGAAACACCTCTGTGTTGACAGCAACGGAGAAGCCATCATGGGCTGCATCATGGGCTGCTGGTGTTCAGAGTGGCGTTACCTGGGGAGAGGGTGAATTTGCCATGGGAGTACCCCCTGGATTTCTGTTTTTTCAGAAAAGGAGTGAAACCTGCAGCCACTGAGTGGTCGTGCGTTCATGTGGCATAGTAGCAAAATTGTGTTCAGTGGTTGTGGACAGTATGAAAACATCTTTAATGTTTTCCTTCTGATAGTTTTGCAGAGCACTGCTTATATATTTGACATTCCCATGTTGATGCATATGAAAGTGTACCTGAAGTAAGAAATGAACACCCAGTTTTGACTTTTCTTTATCATTAAGCAGTCTTTACCTTCGCCAATGGTAACAAGATATTTGAATGAAGAGCATGGCTGCACATTACAGAGATGGCTGTCATCACTGCCTACCCAAATCTAACAGCACTGATGAGAGCCAGCCGCAGTGCAGGTGCGATGTCTGTGAACATCTCTGCATATGCTTCTTCTCACGATTCCCGTAACATCTGTTTCTGCATTAGCTTCCTCAGCTGCATTTAACGTCTCAGTGCATTTTTCTTAGTGTCCAAAGGAATCCTTTTCTTCCTTTAGAAAAAGGATGTAATTACAAAGGCCCTGTGAAGTTTCTCATATGCATATAAACCATTTAGCCATTGCTTTAATATGGTGTCTGAGCACCCCCTGTGGAAGCTAAAATGCATAGGCAGGCTACTTCAAGGAAACAGTTTCTACACAGGTGAAATGTTAGCCTGTTTCCAGACTGCAGTTTACATAGGTATCCTTAGCCTTACAAATTTTTGAAGTGAGGAGTTGAAAATGTTTCCCATTTCTCAGCATTATTGCCGTTTGTCTTGTAGTTATAGATTTTCTTGTGCTAACACATACATCCGTTGGTAAGTGTCAGAATAAATCCAAATACCCATAAAGTAAATGTCCTGAAAAGGAATATTTTTGGCCTTTGTTACAGCTCAGATCAAAGTAGAAACAGTGGAAGGAAAGTTGCCTGATAGCCTTGGTGTAACGTGAACTGTGGAAATGTATTTTAATAATCCATTTATTTTCCTGTAGGATTTCTCAGTTTCTGGCATGGCAATTTGGCAAACGTTATATCGTATTTTCCAATACAGGCTCTAAACTTTGCTTTTAAGGACAAGTATAAACAAGTATAAATTTCATATCCAAAGTGGATAAAGAAAAACAGGTAAATAATCTATTGTCTCTTAGTTCTGTTTCATAAATTAACTAGATCTGGCCAAGAACCGAGTAGTTCTTTCACTCATGGTTGGTAATTCTTGATAACATGTTGATAGATTTTGTAGTTAGAGTTTTTAAAGCGCACATGTCTTACTATATAGGTCATTGTTGACGTAATGAAATCTATGTTTTCATCTTCATTGATTAATAACCTCATAAGGTGTGTATAAGTGCTTATAACTGCAGTCAAAATTTTCAAAGTTTTGTTCAGGACATACAATTATTTCAAAATTAATCGTTGCAAGTCTTACATTGTATATTCAAAATCTTGGACGCAGGCACCTGTGTTTCAGGGCTTTGTCAAAAATCCCAGTCACATTTTCACAGTTATGATTGCACAATGGACTCTAATCTCAAAAATATTTATGTTCATGGGTAATCTCACTCTTGAAATTACAGCTGTTTTTATTTTCATGCATAAAATTCTTGGGTTGCGTCCCTCAAGCAGAAGTCTGTCTTTATCTATCTTCTTACTTCTCTTTGCATTATTTTCTTGATAATTGTTACTATGCAACTGCCAGAAGAAGCTTTTGGTATTACAGTGCAAGTTTTGCACAAAAGGAGCAGGAAAAGGAGTGGAACAATTTTAGGTTATGCTGACTAATTTTGCAATGTTATGTACTTGAAGAACGTTCTTTAACTTGGATGGATTTTTGTGAAGAGACAAGAGG